AAAAAAAAAAAAATTGTCACACAAATCGCATGAGACCCAAATCTCACAGTTCACATTAACCTAAAGTAACCAGTTTTTGTCCCAACCTTTATAACCAAGTCTCCTAGCCTCTTTTTGGAAAATTCTACAGCCCTTTTCTACCCTCTTACTTCTGGGAACCCCCAAAGGATGTCCATGCATTTGTATTCACAAATAGCCCCTGCTCAAAATGACCTCACTTCCACCACTGCTGATCATGACTGTAAGAAAAAGCCAAAGACTATGTCAAGATTCCACTGTCCCACAATCCCAAGCCACCATGCTCAAAGTCAGAGTGGTACTAGGCTACAAACAAAAGTGGAGGTGGTGGCCCTCTCTCGATCTCAGGGCTGCCTCTTGCCAACTGGACCTCGAAGTCGCAGTGCAGAGCCCCAAGTCACAGAGCCCAGTCTCCAAGGGCTGGTTCAGGAGGCGCTGCACCATCCCCTCCACTTCTCCATCTCCTCCATTTCCTCTGTCTCCACCCTACTCCTTCAGCCACAACAAAAGCTCCCTGTTTATCAGTGGATCAAAGAGATGTTTAGGACTAGAAGAAAAGTAGGTCACCTGTATACGTCAAAATCACCTGAGCCTCATCTCTGATCCTGACAAAAAGGTAGGGTAAAAAATAAGAGTATGTTTCAATTCTGAAAGCATGACTTACTACCTGGTATATAAGTGATTGAGCTAGCTGCTAGGGATGCTGAAATGAACATGATAATATAGCATAAACCCTGCTCTCAAGCAGTTCACAGTCTAGCAGGGAAAACAGATACATAAAACAAAATAATTATAACATAGCATTCAATAAGAGAGGCATGGTACAGGCTAAAGAGAGAACTCTAAGGAAGAAATAATGAACTTGCTCACTAGGGGTACAGGAGGGAACACTTCTCAGAGAAGTTGAGTATTGACCCACGTATTCAAAAATGACTAGGAGTTTATCAAGTACTTCCAAGCAAGAGAAAATACCACAAAGAGCAAAGAGATATTCATAGTGTGTTCTTAGAACTAGAAAACCTTTGACCATGGCCTAGTAAAGATTAGCTGCAAGGCAAGGAGCAGGGGATACTGCTGAAGAAGTTCTCAGAGGCCAGATCATGACCACCACACTCAGGAACATGTGGACTTCATCCTGTGGACTCTGGAGAACATTGAAGTATTTACATAGAACAATGAACTGATCAGATTTGAAATTTTGAAAACATTCCTCTGCAGTAGGGATGATGGATTGGCAAGTGAAGACTCTGAAGGTACGGACACCAGTAGTCTGGAAAATTGCCTCAGTAGTCTAGACAAGCGTGGTTGATTGCTACCTTGCCTTCATATGAGAAGAATTTGCAGTGATCAGGTATCAGTCAAGACTGTGGTTGTATGGAACAGGAAGAGAGGCCAGAATGGCAGGCAGAATAAGAACAATTGGGTGACCAACTGGACATGAGGATTAACAAGGAGGAAAGCTCTGGCTTGGAGAAATGCCTATTCTAAGATTACAGAACGGGGGTGCCTGGCTGGCTTAGTCGGTAGAGCATGCAATTCTTGATCTCAGGGTGGTGAGTTCAAGCCCTACATTGGGGGTAGAGATTACATTTAAATAAATAAATAAATAAATAAATAAATAAATATCAAAAAATAAAGTTACAGAATGGATTACTCTGGATATTTCTCTGTAGATGCCCAGAGGGTAGTTAGAGAAAGATTTGAGTCAGTAGCTCAGAAGGGAGATCCAGTCTGGAAAAGCTTTTAGAAGCCATCCATGTTCAGGAGGTAGGGAAACCCACAGTATGTATCCCTCTACACATTCTGAAAATGGCACACCAGTATTCCAGTACTGTTCTTATTTACACTTGTCTCCCAGAGTGATTCCTAAAAGTTTCCCCTTTCACTTTCAAAAGTGTCACAGCTTAAGCAATAATGTATAAGATCACCCTAGACACTGATTATCATCCTCACTTAGTCTGGTTGATTTTTTTTTTTAATCAGTAATCTAGATACACTACCCTTCATGCCCTCTATTACCGAAAAGTTCTTGCCACTTTTTATGTCACATACGTACAAGGCAAATTTGCTGTTGAGGGGAGTAAACGATTCATCTATTTGTAATGTAGACCATCAACTGGTTTATAACTGTGAGTTAATTTTTTAATTTCGGCTCTTCTTAAAGCAAGGTGCCCGGTTTTACCAGAGACCTATGCCGTTATTTTTCTTCCATAAGCAAAGTTACAGAAAAAAATAAATAAAATAAAACTTTCCAATAAGGTATCCCATCTATTAGAGCCAGTAAGTTTCCAATTTAAAGTGATAGGCTGCCGTCTTTACCCCTGATTCTTTTGTCAAACATAACATGTATATCTAAGCGCCCTCTGGTGTTTGTCAGAAAGAAGTCTTCTTAGACATAGTCCAGCCTCGCCTTGCCTTTCATTGCTTCAATTCCAAGTTTCCTTAAAAGAAATAAGTTAAACGACTACGGTAATTACAATAGGCCTTTTCTTTGAAGGATTAAGCCAAAGTAAAAATAATAATAATAATAATAAGTGCTGTGCTTTGCAAATATAATTTAAACTGGATCAAAAATCAACTTGTTGAAAATTTCTAGATGCTTTAAATGTTTGTGTCCATAATTTTTAAAAGCAGGGAGGGGTGATGTCAGAATAAGAGTCATCTTATTTTCTGCATCATATATTTTTAAATGGGCACAGATTTCGTGTCTCTGGAAAGCATGAGAACAAGGCAAGAGGAAGACAGGCATTGGAGGAAGGAACACCCATGACTCAGAATGCAGGTGTCCGTTCAGAGAGCCCACTGTTTCGGAAAGCGTCTGATGGTCGCATTACTGCTGCACAGGGAGCTTTATATGGAAGAAATTTGGGACTTGCTTGATAAAAAAAAAAACCTCTGGGGCACGTGTTTGCTATGATACCATTTTTGCATTGTCTTCCTTGACTAAGGGCCACTTCTGTGGGTTATGCCTGGAAAGCATAAGAGCTTTTCCAGGTAAAACCATGGCATAATCGTCTGGCTGGAACACTGGAGGAGAGGAGAGACTTTTGACACAGCCACTCCCCTGTCCTGGTGAAACTGTGCAGTGGGTCTGCGAGCACGCTGGGGGACAGACCACCCTGCAGTCCACTCAGATGGGGCAGCACTTTGTTAGAGAACTGAACCAGAAAAGCACCAGATGAGGCGAACGGGCATCTACCAAGTGTCAGACAGAAGAACTCCTTCTCCGCTTACATATAGCCCATGAGCCAATCTTTCTAGTGCTAAAAGGAAGTACACGGTACACATCCCCACCGCCGCGCCTACAGGCCAGTGTCCTGGCCTTGAACCATTTCTTAGATGAGCTTCTATCCTTACACACGCAGAAATATGCAGAAATATGTGGAAGCTCAGAAACAGAAGCTCCCCTGTGGAGAGAAGGGAGTCTGCTTCTCAGAGAAGAGTCTCATTCACTCCGAGCCAAATCTGCTTGAGTAGTTATTTGTACCCAAGTGCCATCAGTGTTGATGGGAATTTGGAATGCAGCACTGAAAACAGCATTGAGCCCAGTCAGCATAATCCTTTAAATCTCTGGTAATTCAGTGTCAGCGCTGGTTGGACCACCCAGGAGCCACTGGACGCAAGGAGCATTTCAAGGTCTGCCTACTTTCTCAACAATTTCCCCTGTGAAACTCTAAGCTCTTCCATCAGCACAATGTCAGAGTGGTCAGCAGACACGGGTAATTTCCTAGTCTGGAACCGTGAGATACAGTAACAATTCGAAGAGTAAATTCCATATGAAAGACAGTTGGTTTGGACTGAATTGTGACTGATGGCATAGGAACACAGCTGATTTTATAGCATTCTGTGACACCAGCCTTCATGCATGATTTCTGGGACCATTTTATATGTTATAGAACTTTCACATGCCAAGGAAATTCATGTTTATGGAGCATAGAAGGCCCACCCACCACTACATGCACAGATAGAACATTCCCTTCTCGTAAATTTAAGCTGCTGTTTATATGGATTATTTATAGGAAAGTCAAGTCTCAAGAAGGGGCAAGCTGGCCCAGAAGGAAAGCATGGATACCATTAACCACGCAACTCAGCTTGTGGAGCAAGCTCATGAGATGAGGGATAAAATTCAAGGTAAATATATTCTCTTCTCATGCAGCTTAATGTCAAGGAATCATTCATGTTGTTAACAACAACAAAAATATGGCTAATGTTAGTGTTCATTATGTGCCAGGAACTGTTGTTATAGTGTTATATATAAGGTAATATATATGCATTTATGATATTTTATATGTATTACGTATAAGGTCTTCCAGTTTGTCCATCTAGGATTTCTGAGCATTCACCCCTACTTACTATCCATTGGTTGTCAAGAATAAATGTATAGAATCATTCCCTTTCCAGGCATTTCAAGGCAGGGAATACCCTTCCAGCAGAAGAAATGGAATGCTATGGTGTCTCTAAAATGCAAAAGTTGAGTAGGAGTCATGTTTTTCTGGAATATTTGCAGCAAAAACACTGCCTTTAGAGTGGCAGGAATCTGTCCACTAGTCCAAATTGTCCTAAGCTCTCTCTATGATGCCATTTCCCAAAGATCAGGCAGGCAACATGCTCTGGTCCCCAAGCCAGAAGAAAAGCCTGGAGGGGGCGTGTGAGATTTCTTTGCCCTAAAGCATTGTGGCAGATTTTATCTTCCCTCTTAGAGGAGTACTTATTTGTGCTCTAACTTCTGATAAGTGTTGGCTGTATTTTGAAGACTACCTTAATAGCCCCCTGAAAGCCAGCCTCCCATTTACCAACAGAAAACAGGCACTTTCACTTGTTCTAAAATAAAGAGAATTTCCTTGGCTTACAGTCTGCCAAGATACAATATTTGTGTTTCCATAGCTTTAATCCTATATATGAAGAGCTGGGTGACAACACCAAGTGCATCTCAGGACACAATGGCAGCAAAGGATCCCACAGTGGGAAAGTCGCATCTTTATCCTGAGGTATAGGGAACATATTCCAGGCAGAGGGATGAATGCAGCCAAGATGAGACATTTGCTATATTTCCTTTGGTGGCTATAATACACAATAAAAATAAATGGCATGGATTTCAAACACCCCCCCAACCCCGTTCTCACTGTTTCATGCTTTTGCATCTATCAATAAAATATTTTTTTTCATTTTAGAGTTACTATTTTTTTTTTCAAGAAGTAAGATTGAACCTAGATGAGCTGACCTCATCTAATGAAGAAATAAATGCCCCTCTAGGCAGCAAATAAAGCCAGCATCCTAGTAAGCCATTCAGAGAAAATAATTCACCTTTGCTGTTATAAATTTTTTATTCTAACGTGTTTCATTTGGAAGTAATCTAAGCCCTCTATTTGACCCTTTAAGCATAGGAAAAGGTGAAAGACATACAAAAAAACTGTAAATGGGAAGCAATAATTTCCATCAGTTTACCTTTTAAAAATAATGTATGAATAGTCTCCAAAGACTAAGGCAAAAATGTTATTGTCTACATTTCCTTTTTCTAATCTACACCAGACATGGCTAAAATAAAACAGGCCAGAATTGAAAATGTAATATTTGGATCAAAATGCCAGAGAAGTCAGCGCTGCAAGGGATAGATCCAAGGGGGGTGCGGGGAATCTATGTTTTGCTTATTTCCGGAGTTAAGATTATGGATTTCACTTGAAAAGTGAATGTTTAATCCCTTCATAGTTTTGTTTCTAGCATATCTTGGTTTCCCTATAACTTTCTCAGTAATATTTACAGTGTTAAAAACCTCTTACCCCATTTATCTCCTTTCCTTCAGAATTCAGGGATGCTACACACTACCAAGAGTGTGTCATTCCTTTTTCCCAACCATCTGTAAAATAACTCCTGGTGACCTTCAAGCCATTATCCATATAAAATACAAGCCTTTATCTGGTATGATTTATGTGACACCAGTGTTTGTTTACCCATCTTGTCTGGCCAACCACATAGATCATAGTAAACCACAGACACACAATTTCATTTATGCCAGGAAGATAAAATGCTTCTTCCCAGAGCTGTCAGAGGACAAGGTGGCAATTACATAACTTTCATCTGATCATATTTAGTAGGAAGAGAAAGTCAGAGAACAACTCAGCTCTGCTGGTATGTAGACAACGCATCTAATCCCTCTGAGCATCAGCAGTCCCTTTGGTTCTAAAATTCTCCAGAAGTGGGGTGAAAATGACCCAGAATCAAAATGGCCCAATCTTGACAGTCATATTACAGAAGGCAGATAGCAATTGCAAAGTGTGTGTGTGTATACACAAAATATATAAATATATATATATATGTATTAATGAACAAAAACATCACAATATAACAAACCTCTATTTTTATATCTGGTCTGTAGAATAATCTGAAAGATCCACTTGAACAACTATTAATATACTTTCATTTTGGTTTAGAGTTTTGGTCAGCTCCTTGGCTAAAATATAATTAATATCTAATGCATCCTACATATGACAGGAGATACCTCAGAGGATTTTCTCCACGTTATGTATTTTATATAAAAGGTTGATCAAAGACCCCAGATTTGCAGGCCTTCAATGTTAATGTTCAGGACTTGCTATGGAAACCAGACACAGCTGAAGTTAGGACAGGCTTTGTGTTAATCCCATTCCCATTCTGAAGACACCAAATGGGAAACAGAGTTGTTTCCTCAAGTTTTACTTCTCCTTGGATCATATGGTGAATTCCAGTGCTGACACCACTATTTGCAGCGTGAACATCAGTACACTGTCTTTGAATGAAACCCTCTTTCCATTTTAGGATCAGCCCCTGCCCTTTGCCCTCACTCTCCATGTTTTTAGTGGCATCACTGTGAAATGCCCTGACACCTCACCCTGCTTTCTTCTCTCACTGTGTCCTTCCTTTCAGAGATCAACAACAAGATGCTCTATTATGGAGAGGAGCAGGAACTTACCTCTGAGGAAATCTCTGAGAAGCTGGTGTTGGCCCAGAAGATGCTTGAGGAGATCAGACGCCGTCAACCATTTCTCACCCAAAGGGAGCTGGTGGATGAAGAAGCAGACGAAGCCCATGAACGTAGGTGTTTTCAACTCCTAAGGCGCAGCACGTGTCGGCTTCCTTTATGGGTCCAAGAGAGGATACTGAGCCACAGGGGAACATTTGGTCAAAGCAAGCAATCCCCAATATTTGCAGATTTCTTTTAAAGAGTTTATTTATTTATTTGAGAGAGAGAGCGCACGCACGTGCAAGCACGCATGAGTTGGGGGGAGGGGCAGAGGGAGAAGGAGAAGCAGACTCCCGAATGAGCAAGAAGCCCAACACAGGGCTCGATCCCAGGGCCCGGGGATCATGACCTGAGCCGAACGCAGACACTTAACTGACTGGGCCACCCAGGTGCCCCTAGTTGCAGCTATTTAGAACTTAATACGTGGCCTCAGGGACTCGGTCAGGACAACTTACCTATACGATCAAGATTTTTAGATCCAGGCCCAACCTTGAGCTTTTGAAAAACAGCTGAGATTCCACATAGAATCTATAGACCTTAACCACTGAGGAGAAGAAATAGGGACTTACAGTTGGTGAAAATGTATAAAACAGGAGAAGAAAAACTAAGGGGAACCACTTTTCAGAACTACAATAAAAGAAATCTTACCAAGAAGGCAGTAAAGCTACAAGCCCAGCAACATTCGTGTTCTGAGGTCTGGGAATGACTTTTAATGAACTTTTAACCTCCAGTGCAAATTGAACATTTCCTTTAATGATGAATGTAGGCAAGAAACCACAGTAGTATTAGCGAACCTATGACTTGGTCACTCTACCAGTTATCAATGACTAACAACTCCAAACGTATTCATTCATTTTTTTTTTTTTAAGATTTTATTTATTTGACAGAGAGAGACACAGCGAGAGAGGGAACACAAGCAGGGGGAGCGGGAGAGGGAGAAGCAGATTCCCCGCGGAGCAAGGAGCCCGATGCGGGGCTCGATCCCAGGACCCTGGGATTCTGACCTGAGCCGAAGGCAGACGTTTAATGACTGAGCCACCCAGGCGCCCCAAATGTTTTCATTTAAAATAACCATGTATTTGCTCATGATTTCATTGGCAATTTGGGCTCAACTCAACCTGGACAGCTCATCTGTGCTCCATGTAGCAGGAGCTGGCTCCTTCAGATGTCTGGGGCCTTGGCAAGGATTGCTGGGCCTCTCCCCGTTGTGGGGTGTGACCCTCAAGGAGTCTCGCCCAGGCTCATTCACATGGCAGCAGCCTTCCAGGAAAGCAAGAATGGAACTCAGCTGTGTCATATCTATCCTACTGACCCGGACCGGCCCAGATTAACAGTGTGAGGAAATAAACTCTACTCCTGATGGGAAGAGCTGCAAAGAATTTGTGTCCATTTTAATCTACACAATCAACAAGAGAAGCCACGGATTTGGGTATTGGATTTTAGCTGCACTCTGATCTCACAACATTCAGTTTATCAGTAATTCAAAATTATGTAGTTGTTAGTCCCACTTCTAGATCTTGTTATTTCAGACTTAATAAAAAAGCACATGTATTGTTATATCACCAATTTGTTTTTTAATATTTTGGTCTTCTTTTTAAGTCTATGTATTTTATTTTACGCATTTTAAAGTACATGATAAGAAGGGGCCTGAAGGCTTCACTAGATTGCAAAGCGTCTCATGGCACAAAAAGGGTTAAGAACACCTGCTCTGCATTATTTCCCTACGATCATTACTATCAACTTCTAAAAATTATTGTGACTCTTCTAGAAGAGGAACATTCTTCACCTAAAGGCATGTTACCATAAGAAATGTATAAAGTCTTAGAAACAGTAAGAACTCAAGAAGAATCTCAGGCCCCATATCTGGTCAGGATGAAGCCAGGGCTCAGGAAGGCTGGAGCTCTGATGTCACAGACAAATGCTTTCACACTTCTTGCCTATTTTAGAATGTAATGAGTCTGCCCTGGGGAAATGAAACCAATCACATCTCCCACTTAGCCACCTTCCACCTGGTCAATGCATGTTTAACCACTTTCTTTACTCAGTCATGGACGTGTATCTTCTGCTCACAGTGATGAAAGACAATACAAAACCTTGAAAAGTCAGACCGATAGTCCCTGAAGAAAAAGAGAATTAAGGCACGTAATCAATGCATGTTACTTTGATCAGAGAATTAAGACATATGCAGAATTTAAGAATATATCCTTGTCATTGAATCTTCATACCACCCAAAATAATGGTTTAGGTTTGATCTGAAGAAGCTACCTAAAAGCAATTGCCTGAAGAGAATACAGAAAATGTCAGTAACAGATAAGATAATTTTGGTTATTTTTTAATAGTAAAACTATGGTATATCCAAAACCCTTTGGTAAAATTATTAATAATCTAGGTAATAAACATAATGACATGGCTTCCACAAAAAAAAATAATAAACATAATATGACATGGTTTCCACAGCAAACATAATCTCGATGGAAAACCTAATCAAACTCTTTTTTTTGGCTGACTGTCATCCAGGGACTCTCAAACCCTACAACATAATTTTTCTTTCTTCAAACATAAAACACGGGGCTATTTTTATGAACAACAGCTTCAGTCTCTATTGCTGAGGACGGCATGGCCTGACAAGTTTGTGTCTTTGCTAAATGCTGGATGGAATGAGGGGAGGCAGGAGAAGCCCAGACTGAGATTCTGTGTCCATTTCTCCCCAGTGTTGAACCAGGCTGAGAGTTGGCAGCGGCTGTCCAATGATACTCGCTCTCTATTCCCTGTCGTTTTGGAGCAGTTGGATGACTACAGTGCTAAGCTGTCAGACCTCCAGGAATCACTGGACCAGGCTCTTGACCACATCAGGGATGCCGAAGACATGAACAGAGCCACGGCAGCCAAGCAGCGGGACCACGAGGTACAGTGGACACGCTACCTGTAAATGAATTTCAGACATATACAACACAAAATTTTAACAAGAAGGGATGGTTGGCATGCAATTTTTTTTAAAATATTGATATACTCAAGTATTCATATTTTTTAAAATATTTATGCATTTTTGCCACTGTAATTTGCTAATGTAACTGTGTGCACCTAAAATCGAGTTGAAAGCATTATAATTGTTTAGCTTCTGCATTGATAAGAATGCAATTGTTCTTGGTGCTTGTGTCTGTGTGTATGGATATGTTGTTCTGGCAAGTGAGTTAGCAATGTGCTATTCCTGTGTCTACCTTTTTTTTTTTTTTTAATTGAGAGCACTAGAACACCAAAGCAACCCAGAACCATGTTTCTAGAAGGGTATGTGTAATTTTTGGAAAGGTATGATAAGCAAATCCCACAGCCTGGCTGGTCAGCAGCCACAGGGATAGGGAGTCTAATTCAAGCCAAAGGTCATGCAAATACAAAGAGGTGAGAGAAACTCCCAGACCTAGCCACAGCTTGCAAAGGCAGGCATCCCTATGGGGCCAGGATCTGGGCATGCCCACCTTGGGGGCTTAGATCTGGTGGTGGTCATGGCTGTTCCAAGCAGGGTAGGCACTCACAACTACCACCATCGAGAGGAGCCAGCTTCTGCTAGAAAGACACGTGCATCTTTGGACATGTTTATAAAGATCAGAGTGAAATAGCAATGTCAAAAACTAGGAAGCAATTACGAGAATAATTCGGTTATGCTCATAATTCAGTTATGTTCGCTTTTATTATCTGCAAAGCCAACTTAAGTGAGATTCCCCGCCCAGATTTTCAGTCATCTGAAAATGATGAAATTTGAAAAAATTTCAAAAATCTGAAAAAAATTTCAACCCTCTCTCAGTGAGCCTCTGGAAATGTTCCTAAGTAAAAGTGAATTACCCTTATCACCACCATTTTCTAATAGGAGCAATCCCTCAGCCAGCAATTTTTTTTAGAATAACAGTGGTCAGGATAGCGACCAAAACAGCCTCCGGGTTTCTCACCTCCATTCTTGCTCCCTTCCCACACCCCTGCCCCACCCAGCCTGAGCAGGCGCCCCCATCACTGTTCTGACGGCATTACTTGCTCTGTTAAAACCCTTCATCTTTTCCTTCTGACCCTAGAGCAGTGCCTTTGACACTGCAGCTTATGAACCACGGAGTAATCATAAAATAAGTTTGGAGGGTTGTAAACAGCCTTTTTTTTTTTTTTTTAAATTGAAGTATAGTTGAATAACCAGCATTTTCTAAAAAGAAACGAAAGAATAGAAACTATCAAAGCGCATCATCTATAAGGAGGTATGGTTTCATCGCATTTCTGCTTCGGCGTTGCAACATAAATTGCACTGTTTACTGTGGGTCACGGTTAAGAACATTTGAGACCCTGTCCTATAGGACAGCCTATGCCCCTTCACATGCCATGAGGGACCTTGTCTGATCCACCCTTGCCAGCCTCCTTGGTTTCGTCTGTTGCGGAGTCCCTGCCTCCCACGTTCAGTTCAGGCACTATCACACTCGCTGTAATCCCATCTGCCTGCAACACAGACTTCTTTCCCAGACGTCACCTCCTCCGGGAGGCCTAAGCCCCATTCGCAGGTGAACAGGTGCTCTCCTCAGCAATCCCATAATGCACCTTGTGACATTCCCGTTTCTATATCGTGATCATCCCTTAATGGACCTGTCTTCCCTACTCAGCTTAAGTGTTGTAATTTCACATTTCACTGTTAGACCTACAGCACAGCTTAAAAAAGAATAACAGCAAATTTCCAGTCTTTTTACAAAACCAAAAATAACCACACAGTTTAATCATTTTGATATGTGCAAACGGTAGCCACACAACTAATAATTGCATTATTTCTTTCACCATCCTGCTCTCACCCCAAAGGGTAATAGAATGATAAAAATCTTTGTCAGATGAATGTAAGATTCTATATTTTAAAAGGCACTGTTTAGAGAAGCTCTTAAACCAAAACTCTGCCTTCCTAGGACTGTTTCTATCATTTTTTGTAAGGATCGGGAAACTTTTATTATTCTTTGCAGATGTGAAATGGACACCGAACATGCCTAATAGTGCTAATTGTGTGTCATTTTCATAATTATTGGCTTTCAAAACTCTCTTTTGTTCATATTGACCTTCTTTCTGTGGGAGTATCTTTGTTTCAAAGCTTATTTTATTCATTTCTGTCTAATGCTATCTGTGAAGAGTAAAGTATATGATAAGTGATAAGCCCCTTCACTTGAAGCCTATCATTTTCCAACTACTGCAAATGAACTTATCACTCAGCGCTGTTACCACAAGGCTTTGAAGTTTGGCTAGGGCTTCAGGGCGTTAGCCATATTCCCTTAAGGCGACCAGATACAAGAGCTTCCAGCAGGGGTCATATCTCAGACTCTCTAAAAGGAAAACTGCTCTGAAGGAGCTAAATAATACCAACCTTTTTTCACCTCCTTTCCTTACATAGTTCAATACCCATGCTTTAAAATATTGCTTTTGTGTAGAGCTGTATAACTACCTCTCCTTGAGGAGACAAGAATAATTAACCCGAGATAGTCACCCTGTATTAAGCTTGATGGATTATGAGGGGAAATTGATTTTGTAATGTTCTTGCATTAAGATGTTCGAATGGGATTCTTTTCTGTCCTTGGACCTATATCTTCCCCTGTAGCAAAGTGCTTGGAGAAGATGGTTTCCGTCTTCCTTCCCATTAAATTAGAAAAGACTGCAGCAGTGTGAAAGACACTAAGATGAACTTTGGAAGTTTTAAAGTATGTCCTTCTATATCTGGGCTTCTGTAATCATTCCCACAATATCTTAGATTATACCGCAAGTCATATATTTCAACTCCCATTCAAATTACCTTTTCTAAAGTAACTTCAACTCATTTTTTACTCAGATTGTAAAATGAGTCTTACTTTTCCCCCTTGAAGTATCATTCTGGTTGCTTTCAAACTCCAAACTCATTTGAAGTTTTCTAATATTTCTTCAGAATCACAACATGCCTGCTTCTAGAACCCAACAGTGAAAGTAGAAATTAAAGCATTCATCTAAAAACGCTTGGGCCATTTCCCTCCTCAAAAAGTCTGAGCATCTAACATAAAGAGCTCAGAGTGCTAGGACAGAAGATCACAATTTTATACTTTAATAGTAGGCCCATTTAAATTTTTTTAAAGGACTTTAAAATTGTTTTGTATATGCTTTATTCCTATCCAGATGAGCTATTTGTGCCTGGCCCAAAGTCAGCACATGATAAATAGTTTTTTGAATTACTTCATTTTTCACTTACTGCAAATATAGAGCCTCTGTGAAATCCTGCATTCCGTGTTCCACTTTACATTTATGGAGACAAAGCCAACGGCTCTCTCCGAAGTGGTCACTCTCTTTGAGCTGATGATATTATAAGTAATAATCATAACTAAGTGCTTCAAAGCTCCCAAAGTGCTCACTTTCGTTATCTCCATATTATACATGAGAAAACTGAACTTGACATGGGTAAAATTCCCCAGTCACACAACAATTAGGTGGGAGGGCTGGGATAGGAACTAAGATTTATCTGAGCAGAGACAGGAGGTGACATTGACCACTCTCCCTGATGCTTTCTCTAAAGTGACCTTCTCTTCCACTCCCACTTATTCTTCGTTCCTATAGAAACAACACGAGAGAGTGAGGGAACAAATGGAAGGGGTGAACGGTTCTCTGAAGACGTCTTTGGATTCTCTGACAACACCTCGTCTGACCCTTTCAGAACTTGATGATACAATAAAGGTAGGGATGCATGTGACTTGTAGGTTTGTATTTATAGCAGATTGGAACAGCTCCTCAGTGTCACAAAACAATAATGGAACCCAATTCAAATCTGTCAAGTTAACTGGCACTATAGAAGCAAGATCAGGGGACTGAATTTTTCGGTTTCCTTCATCGTGTGGTGGCACTACTCACATATGGCTATTTAAATTTAAATGTAATGACTTAAAATGAAATAAATTAAAACTGAATTCCTCAGTTGAATTAACCATATTTCAAGTGCCCCACATGTGGCTAATGGCTACTACATTGGACAGCACAGATCTCCTTGCAGAAAGTGTGACTTAGACCCATCCTACTCACTCTTTACTCATAAGTTGTGTATTTAATAAAGCTAACATTCAAATCCATAAGAGACACATTTTAATGTAGAAAATTTCTAATAAAATGCAGTGAACCAGACCGTCCCCAAATTACACTTAGCTCATTTTTATTACCTTTGAAAGGATACCATTTTAAAGTCATCTGATCACCATCTCATCCTTTGGCTATTTCAGCACCAAGCTTTCTGTCTTCCTCCCCATCCCTACTCCCATCACTATCTTGGTGACATCAAAATCCAGATGGATGAGCCCACCAGCTCTCAGACCTCCAGCTCCTATGACTTTTCCTGCCCAACAAGCCTTTCCTCCAGCCCACCCTCATTATCCCTCCTATGGCCATACTCAGGTCTTGTCATCAATAACAGTACCTCCTCCCAAATCCTGGTATCAAGTCCCTCCCTCTCTTATCTCACTTACTCTGGAAAACCCACTCCAACAATTCTCTGGCCACATGGAGACCTCCTCCAGCTCATATCCTCTCTCCTCCTTAAGTAGCTAAAATGATCAATACAGTTGTCCCTCTTATCCATGGTTTTGCTTTCCATGGTTTCAGTTACCCACAGTCAACCTCTGTCTAGAAGCAGATGATCCTGCTTCTCACGTATCCTCACAAGGTCACTTGTAGCCTAACACTACAGCATAATGTGCCTGCATCAGTCACCTCATTTCATGTCATCCCATAGGCATTTTATCATCTCATATCAATCCAAGAGGGGTGAGTCCAGTATAAGATATTTTGAGAGAGAGACCACATTCCCATAGCTTTTATTACAGTATATTGTTACAACTGTTCTATTTTATTGTTAGCTACTGTGGTTAAGCTCTTACTGAGCCTAATTTATAAGTTAAACTTTTTCATAGGTTTGTATGCATAGGAAAACCATAGTATATATGGGGTTCGGTACCATCCCCAGTTTCAAGTACCCATTAAGGGTCTTGGAACTTATCCCCCATAGATAAGAGGGGACTATTGCATAATCATTATTTGCAAACACCCTTAATTTGTATACCCACCTCTTCCCCTACTGTACTCACATGAGAATTCTATTCCCATATCCCAGTAAGCCCAAGTATCCCAGCATCATGGCCATACCAGAGAAGCCAACATAATGAACAACCTACCTCCACTTCTGTCAGTCTGGCTGGTGAATTTGCTTCATGCTTCACTGAAAAATAAGAACAAAGAGAAGAGAACTTCCCTAATCTTTCCTCCCCAGTTCTACCAGCCCACTTATATCTGTATTCACACTTGTACCTTCCTTCCTCGTATAAGTAATGAAGTGCCCCTTCTCTTATCGAAGTTCCACCTCCCCACCTGTGCTCTGAGTCCCATTCTTCCTCAGCTCAATACTCCCCAAAGTATCCCCTCTCTCTTCTGTGTCATCCAGTTCTTATTCTCTATTGGACCATTACTACCAAAATGTTAACATGTTCTAAGGATTTCCTGTCCTTTAAAAGAGGAAAGACCTTGCCTACATCCCCTCTAATCTCTGCCCCATTACTCTACTCTGCTCAGCTTCACAGCAAAAGACCTCGAGAGTCATTTACCATTGTCATTTCCACCTCCCAGCCCCTTACTCTCTGTTGTACCCAACCCACTCCAAATGGAATTTCATGCCCATGCACCGAGACTGTTATCCAGGTCATCAGTGAACTCAACATAAGCCAAAACTGTGGTTGCTTCTCCCTCCTCAGCATTCTTAGCCTCCCTGCTGATTAACCTTTCCTCCTTATTTGAACACTCAGAGCTGTCATCCTGGCTCCTCCAGTACCCCACTCACCTGGTCCTCCTCCCACCTCATTGGCCATGTTTTCCCAGCCTCTTCTGCTAGCTTCACCTCTATACATCTTCTATGTAGTAAATATTTTAGGCTCTGCAGGCCACATTTAACCACTCTCTCTTCTTCTTTTTTATTTTTTGTTTGTTTTTATTTTTTACAAAAAGTAATACTCTTTAAAAATGTAAATAATATTCTTAGCTAGGAACTATATAAAAACAGGCCTTGAGGCATTTTTGGCCCAGAACTCTGTCCATCCCTGCTCTGGTATAATGACTGGCTCAGTTCTCAGTCCCGGGCCCTCTTTGGTACTTACACTTTCTCCCTAGTTGATCCCATTGAATCCCATGGCTTTAAAGAACAATTATATGCATGATCCCACAATTTATACCTCCAACTTTCATACTTCCACTGAGTCCCAAACTCTTATATCCAAATGCTTACTTGAAGTTTTCAAGGAAGAACTCCGTGTGGTGTATAGCAGAATCATAATTTTACCTGCCACTTGGATGTGTAATAGACATATCAAACTTAACATATTCTGAATAAAACCTGTTCCTTCCCTAGTCTTCCCCACTTCAGTAACTGACACAACCCCATTTGCTCCAATCAAAATTCTGGAGTCATTGTTGATTTCTCCTTTCCCCTCCCTCCCATTTCAACAAGACCTATTGACCTTAACTCCAAAATGAGTCCTGATTCCTGACCACTCCCCTCTCTGCTGCTGCTCTGTAGTCCAAGCCACCTCATCGCCAGCATGAACTACCCAAGGGGCCTTCTACTGAGTCATTTGCCTCCACGCTTGCCCCTCAAGACTCATTCTCTATGCAGTAGCAGAACAATCTCTTAAAAACATAATCAGATCACATTATTTCTCCTTCATAAAACCTCCAGTGACATTTAGAGTAAGGAACAAGCTCATTTTATTGTGGTTCATGAGACCCTAAGTGACCTGGCTCTGGCCCAGCTCTCTACCTCATTCTGTATATCTCTCCCCAACTCAACTACCCTCCAGCCCACTCCTCTCTGTTACCCTCCAACTCTGCTCTGTTTTTCAAACACACCATACTTTTCCTTGACTCCGGACCTTTGCACCTGACGTCTCCAGATCTTCAAATGGCTGTTATCCTTGTGAACATTCAATTCAAAGGCGGTTCTTACCCTCAATCATCCTGCAACCCATCCTCCCTATTGTATTTTATTCAAAATGCTTTTTGAAAATAAATGCTATTTTCAAATGCTCCCTGAAATTAACTTGTTCAACTACTTGATCTCTTGTTTATCATCTATAATTCTCACTAGGTTTTAAATTACTGGAAAGCAGAGACTGTATTCATAGCTATGTATTCTATCTCCTAAAAGAGTGCCTGGCACATAGTGGGCATATGATGAATATTTGTTGAATGAGTTAGTAAGTAAAGGTGGAATGTCCATGGTATTCTTCCTGTTTATACAACTAAATATGATTTTTTTCAAAGTATTGTTCCCCAGCTGACCTACCAAATGACTAGAGACTTAATACTCTCTCCATAGAAATAAACCCTCTGTGCTAGGAACTGTGCTACATTCTGGGAATACAAAAATAAATTAGCACAGTTCTTGCCTTCTACAATCATGTAGTTTGGTGGGTGGAAAAATCAGGTAAAATGATTATAGTAGTGTGGCACGTGGACAATAGAAATATATGGCAACACTGAACTCATCCTGGAGAAATTAGGGATAGCTTCATAAAGGAATTGATATTTGAGCTGAAATTGGAAGGATGAGTAGAACTTTTCCAGGTGGGTCAGACAAAAAAGAAAACAAAGTTATCCTGGACAGAGAAAATATTATGTGAAACGGGCACAGGGGGTCAGAAAAAAATCATGGAGCATTAAAACATAAGTTAGTGAAGTTTGGACCATGGTACGTAATGTGGTGGGGAGACGTGAGAAATGATAAGATTGATGAGAGCAGAAGGATCAGGTGATGAAGCCACCTGAGTAATCAGATTTGTTCCTGCAGAGCAATTGGCTGATTTTGAGAGGGAAAATAACATGATCAGATTTGCTTACTAGAAAGATCACCATTCCTGTAGGATGGTGCAGAGTGGGTTAAAAGATTCAAAGTCTGGGCTGGGAGAGAGGAGTTAGATTATTCAGAAAGGGAAGGACTGAGTCAAGTCTGAGCAACACCAACTTTTAAAGTCTCCTTCTTAGACAGTGAAACAGGAGACCCAGGAGAGAGCAATGTCACAGAAGCTAGGGAAAGAGAGTTTTAAGGCAAAGGCAGTGACCAACACTGTCACAAACCAGAGATAAATCCAGTAAATAAAGACAGGAAAGTGTCAAATGGATCTGGCAATATGGTGTCTGACACTGGGGACCTTGGCAAGAACCATTTTTGTGGAATGCACAGCATCAACAAAGAGAAGAAGCTGGAGGGGAAGCTAGAGTCAAGGAATAGGTTTTGTTTGTTTGTTTTTAATAGGAGAGGTTAACTGGGGCATGTTTACATCTGAGAGGAGCCAGTAGCTAGGGAGCAAAAAGAACAGAAAATAGGGCAGCGTGCCTTATACAGAAAAGGAACACTTTTCCTCTTAAAGTATGAGGAAGATGTACATAAAGATGTAGCTATAAATAAGTGTATAGGGGTTTTTTGGTGGAGGGAGAGACCAGAGGATGGTGGCAAAGAGTTGTTTGCAATTCTTTGTTGGTATTAGAGTCTGTGAGGAGAATATTATCCCCTTTCAGCTCCCAAGTTCTAAACAAGTTGAAAAATAAATAAAATAATAAATATAAAGTCCAAGAATATAACCCTCATTGCTGGTGCAGTTAAGATGAGATCATGGCTTTAGGTCTCTTAGCCAAGTGGGGTTGCTAATATTCAATCCCAGAATTAGGCAGAACTACCCAGGCAGGCAGGCAACATTGCAGGGTTCATGTAGGGGTTCTGCCCAGAACAACTTTCATTAGGGACAAACACAGGAAAATTCAGGCTTTCTGCTGGCAGCTTGCTACCAAGAGGCAGGAGGTAGAATTGAACAGAACCTACATAGTTATTCCCCCAAAATTTACCAATCAAATAAACCAGTCCCCCTCTCAGGAGCAGAGTGAGGAAAGGGGTGGAGAGGTCTGAGGTTTCACCAATTGAGCTCCCTTTACAGGGAGGAAATTTCAGGAGTACAGAAAAAATGATCCCCACTACAGTTAGTTGCTGTCTCCTAAATAAAAAAAAGAAAAAGAAAGTGATCTACTTAGAATTAGATGGCGATGGAGGAAGGAAATATGATTGGCTTAAGAATGGTGCCAATGTTTAGAATCACTATTTGAGTGACTGGGAGAAAAAAATGATGCTCATTAGATTCAGTAACTTAGATATCATTAGTTTGAATTTGTTTTGTTGGAGTAGTAAAGTAAAAAATAGATTGGAGTGGGTCAAAGAGTGAATTAAAAAGTGATGGAATAGACAGCTAACATAAACACTTTTTTGGCTATATATTGCTATGGAGGGAATAGAAAAGTAAGGTAATAACACTGGGGAGATGTATGGGTAATGGAGGTTTTTGGTTTAGCTTCGTTTTGTTTTGTTTTCAGATGGGAGAAAGCAGAGCATGTCTGAAAGCTAGGGAAACAATAGTAGAAAATGAGTTGTTGAAGATACAAGAGAAATAGGTAAAAGTCCACTTAAAGTATTTTAGACTCCTGTAGACCTGGCCTGAAATGTACTGAACCTCATATTAAGGAAAACTACAGATTATCTTTTGGTGCTCCCTGGGGAAAAGATTTTAAGTTATTCTATATTCAATTCACTTTTTAAAATATTTTCTTTAGAATGCATCAGGGATTTATGCGGAAATAGATGGAGCCAAAAATGAACTACAAGGAAAACTATCCAACCTAAGTAACCTTAGTCATGATTTAGTCCAAGAAGCTGTTGACCATGCACAGAACCTTCAACAAGAGGCTGATGAATTGAGCAGGTAATATCCTAGTTTTAGAAATGCAAATATCTACATAGGTTGAATAACTCATTTTTATTCAATTCCACGTGCCAGAGATATAGGTTGGCAGGTTGGGTTTTGGGTTGTGTTTTTTGTTCATTTATCAGTTGCTTGGTTGGTCAGTCTGAGAGCCAGCCAATCATTGTTTATTGTCATTGCTTTGGGGAGAGTTTTTTGTTTAAAAAAAAAAAAATCTGTCAGGTTAGAGACCTATGTTGTGAGGGGTGCTTCTGCTCCATAATTATTAGTAGGGTGACCTAAGGCATTTTGGTTAGGGGCATAACTGTTGCACAAAATATTATCAAGTAAGGGGCGCCTGGGTGGCTCAGTCAGTTAAGCAGCCGACTCTTGATTTTGGCTCAGGTCATTATCTCAGGGTCATGACATTGAGCCCTGCGTCTGGCTCTACTCTCAGTGTAGAGTCTGCTTGAGATTCTTGACATTCTCTTTCCCCCTCTCCCCCTGTCCTCCCTCCCTTTCTCTCTCTCTCTCTCTCAAATAATAAAGAAATCTTTTTTAAAAAACATTATCAAGTAAATCAGATCCCTCTACAAGGTCTAATTCTACCACCATCACATATTTATTTCACAGACAGCATTAGTTTTCCATACCCAAGGGTCTTAAGTAAAGCTGGTTGGAAGTTGGCAATACAATTGACTTCTGGTAAATACTCTAGACACTCTATAGTGCCCAGCAGGAAATGTTTGATTTCAACACCTGATTAAGAGAAAATCAATTGACAATTTTCCTCACAGCATCTAAAAGAGAGTCACATACCCTTTGGGCACTCAATTAACGTTCATTGAAATGTACTGAAAGATTGGAATTGAATTCATGACCTTGAAATGATAGGTAAATGATGAGATAATTATAGAGAAAGATTACAAACCTGGCAATTAGAAACAAGGATCAGTAAAGGTCATGAATAAAATAAAGAACCAATAATAACTCTTGTTCAAACTTCAACTACCTTTTTATTCCTGATTGTCAAAATTCTCAAATATCCCTCCAAATCTTCTGAGAATTAGAAGAGAGGAGACAGACAGACAGACAGAGAGAAATAGATGTTCTGTAAAATCTGGGTGTCCGAAATGGCATTGTAACCACTTAGTGTCATGCTTCCAGGAAATTTGCTTTTGATCAAACCAATAAAATGTTTAGATAAAATACGATTTTGGTTGGGGTGCCTGGGTGGCTCAGTCATTAAGCGTCTGCCTTTGGCTCAGGTCATGGTCCCAGGGTCCGGGGATCGAGCCCTACGTCGGGCTCCCTGTTCTGCCGGAAGCCTGCTTGTCCCTCTCCCACTCCCCCTGCTTGTGTTCCCTCTCTTGTTGTCTCCCTCTCTGTCAAATAAATAAATAAAATCTTTTAAAAAATACGATTTGGACAATATGCTGTATTGATATAATATTGTTTTTGAGATCACTCCTGTGGCTCTCTTCATTGTTCTTTTGTCATCTTAGTGACTATGTCCTGTTGATTGGGATCCCAACCCTTACCTTCATTAAATGCAACAAACAGTGTTCTAGCATGATTCTAAGAAAGTTACCCATGCTTTACATGAAAAAATGATCAGAAATATTAATCACTCTGATGTCCCTTTTGCATCTAGGATATTTCAGACTGGATATGTTCAGGGAAACATCCAAATTTATAAATGTCTTCCCCTCGGGGCGCCTGGGTGGCTCAGTTGGTTAAGCAACTGCCTTCGGCTCAGGTCATGATCCTGGAGTCCCAGGATCGAGTCCCGCATCGGGCTCCCTGCTCGGCAGGGAGTCTGCTTCTCCCGCTCCCGCTCCCCCCTCTTGTGCTCTGTCTCTAAAATAAATAAATAAAATCTTTAAAAAAAAAAAAATGTCTTCCCCTCAAAATGTGAATATGCTTCATCATCTGTCTGATGACCCAATAATTTGCTTCTTGTGCATAAAACAGAGATAAACATAATTCATCAAGAAACTTTCATTTCAAAAGCACATTTTATTTTATGTATTGATGCAGTAACTTTTTTGTGCCTAGTAATGAAAACAGGGTATTAAAGACTCTTTTAATCTCTTTCTTGTATCTTAGCCAGCAAAATTTTAAAATATTAATGAATACTTGTAACATTTTATTCCTTGTATCCCTTTCTTTTAAAACTTCCTCAGATTTTCCTCTCTGTGCCATTTCTAAGAACGGGTTGTAGGTAGGAAGAAGTAGCAAATATTTGGATTAGAATTACCTCTGCAGAGCAGAATTGCATTATGACTTTCCTGGACCCTAGGTACTTTTACCTCTATTGGCCCCTTCCTCCATAAAAAAATTTTAAATTACATGTTATGATAGCATTGTTAAGACTATTGTTAAGACTAATGTTAAGACTATTGTTAAGACTAATGATAGCATTGTAAGACTACTGTTAAGACTAATATAATCATTATTAGTATCCTTATTGTTCTTCTGATTAAAAAAAAAATAAAAATGAGAAAGTCTTTGTGGGGCCCTATTATGCCTAGTGGATAAGTCAGCCCTCCTGCAAAGGAGCCCAATGATGATGAACTTGGACAAAAGAGAAGAAAGCAGCCAAGGGAATACAGAGAAGTCGCTCTGAGTCTAAGAGAGTACACAGGGACTGCAACTGGATGGAGGAACCTGAGAATCAATTGAGTTCAATAGGTCAGGGCAGTTGGAAGAGATGAGCCAAGCGTGGGATCTGCAGTATCACATACTGGGTCACAGAGAATCTTCTGGAAGTTACTGATGAATCAAGTGGTAATAGTCATCAGTGTCTGGGACTGAGAAGAAAATATGCAACTGGTGTATTTAAAACTGAGTAAAATTGAGGCAAAGGATTCAGGATGTGCCGCAGCAGTGAAGGGTTGTTTATGTTAGAGAGGAAGAAGAAGTGTTTGTCACTAAAGTGAATTATTCTACGAATACACTTAGAATTTGAAATTCCAATTCAGGAAATAGTTTAGGCACAATAATAAACCGTGATGTTTATTGGACGACAGGCATGGGACCAAGCATTTCACACAGTTTATCCCTGTTGTACCTCACATCAGTCATCTGAGCTATATACCATTATCAGCCACTATGTGAGAGTGCCCAGTGCATGATGGGTACCCAGTAAATAGTAGATGAACCTTACAGAGGCCAGAAAGGCGTCAAGGCAGAGAACATGGTGTAGAGGGCAAGGGTGGAAATGGCCGTGAGTAGGGCTTTGCAGTTTAAGGAAGGAGCTGGGCTGCAGGAGGGAGACAAACCATAACAACATGCACCCTGGTTCCCTCTATGAAAAGGGAATAACAATGTCTACTTCACAGGTGTGGTGAGAATTAAAGACATATTATACATAACAAGGCTAGCACAGAATCTGCACCTAGATACTCAGTATGTATCATTCCCCTTCTTAAGGGAAAATACGTTGTTTTCTAAAGTGAACAAAAGGTTGAATAAATAGAGTGAAACCAACTAATACCTAACACCAAGCTGAGGCTGTGCACCGTCTTTGAGAGTCTTGGCTTCTCTTACGCAAAGGAAAAAACAATGCTGATTTGGGTAAGTAGGTGGGGGAGGACTGTGGGTTCATTTATGGGCCTGACCGCCACCACATAAACAAACTGTTGCTTGAAGAGGTGTAGAAGACTGTTTTTAAATCATCATTCCCTTTTTCTGTAGCCACTGCCCAGCAAACAGCTTCCATGGAGCCAAAATGGGGTAAAGTCCTGGGGGCACCAAAAGCAGAGGAGAGAAAAGAAGATGTGCTCTTAGGAAAGGCAGCTTGGGAAAACCTTGCCAAGCCAGGTGGCTTTGAATAACAGGAAGGAGGTCCCTGGGGTCCCAGAAGTATTCAAATCAAGCAGTAAAAATGGCCCCATTTCCCACAAAAGTAAGAAAGAGGAATAATGACACGTTTGTTCTTTAACAGGAATTTGCACAGTTCAGATATGAATGGGCTGGTACAGAAGGCTTTGGATGCTTCAAATGTCTATGAAAATATTGCCAATTATGTTAGTGAAGCCAATGAAACGGCAGAATTGGCTTTGAATATCACTGACCGAATTTATGATGTGAGTATTCCTATTTTTTTCAAGATTTTGTTTTTAAGTAATCTCTGCACCCAACGTGGGGCTCGAATTCACAACCCCGAGATTAAGTCACATGTTCCACTGACTGAGCCAGCCAGGCACACTCCCCCACCCCAAGTATTCCCTTATTTTAAAGTTCATTTATATATTGCCTTTTCCCAGTTTATGACTTTACTGTTTTCTAATGTCATCGCTTGAGGTTCCCACTGTAATGTAAATGGCAGAAAGGCCAAGAGAACTAAGAAAAGACCATTTTATTTTTGTTATGGTTTCAGTAGCACAACTTATTCAAAATGTGCCATACTCCTGTCAGCAAATGCCAGTTCCTTTGACAGCCTTTTTAAAACACAGTCCTTGAATAAAACATATTTACAATGAGTCCGTGCTGATAGAGAAGATGCTTTATGCAACATTCACATTTTTTCAAATCAAAAATTGTTTATTGAGTGGCTTCTATTTGACAAGCACTTTGGTGAGACCTTGGCCAGACGCTGTTCTAGACTCACTGAATTTTCCTTGGAAACATTTATCTTGAAATCATCATGGACTTTATTTTCTCGTGTTCCCTTTTGACCTTGATTTTGAGCTATGGAAATGAAGTTGTATGAATTTTGCTTGGTGTTTAACAGATAAATGGTGTCATTTAAATCCTCAATCCATGAAAAGTGGATTTCTTCTGCTCTAATTCTTATTCTTTCTACGCAATTCCTTTGTAGGCTGTGAGTGGGATTGATACTCAAATCATTTACCATAAGGATGAGAGTGAGAACCTCCTCAATCAAGCCAGAGAACTGCAAGCCAAGACAGATCCTAGTAAATATCTTCCCTTTCCTACCTTTCTTCTGATTTATAGCTGCTTCTCTCCTTTCATACAGTACTTCTGCATATGGATAGAGATTTCAAAATTCTAGGATTAAAGAACAAATGATCTTTTAACTGAATAGTACATTAATAGTTCTTGCTGAGATTCAAGGTATAAAAAAAGCAAAGACTGGATATTTTTTTTTTAAGATTTTATTTATCTATTCAAGAGTGGGGGGAGGAGCAGAGGCAGAGGGACAACAGACTCCACGCAGAGCGCAGAGACAGATGCAGGGCTTGATCTCTTGACCCCAAGATCATGACCAAGTAGAAACCAAGAGGTAATGCCATAAAATACACTTAACACTAAAACTATATTATACATAATTTAGTCTTTCTTGGACAATTCAGAAAGGCCTTTAAAATTTTACAATGAGTCAGCACTGGGAGAGTCAGAAGGATAGGATACCACAGAGCCATGTGGTTATTGGCACTTTCCTGTAGCTTGTGTTCACTAAGTTTACTGCATTTAGGACAAGCCAGTGACAATATGGGAAGAAGCATTTCCAAAGGGTAGTGTTTGCATCTATGAAAGCAAGCACATCCAAGTGGGGAAGGAAGAAAAAATAAAAGCAAAATCATGTTAGTCAATTTTGAATCTTGTGAGCTACTCTTAAAAACAATTGCATTGGCTAAGAATTTCACTAAACATTACTCATCTCTGAGCAAATGAACTCATACCTAAGGATGGTTGCACATTGACTAATGAGGTTGGAAATCCATTATCTAGCTAACTTCTAACTACCACCTAAAAACAAAGACCAAGTTCGAAACAGAAAACGTCACATAATTTTATCAAAGCAATTAATCTCAGTTCTAACCATGCATTTTCTTTTTTTTTTTTTTTTTTTACGAAGAGCACTATATGGAGAAAAAAAATGTATTTGTTTTTCCTACGCAGAATATTTAACTAGCTATGATAAAGCAACTATTATTTAATGTTTGCTGGGTAAACAAAGGCAATAAAAATGTTCTCTTCTAATTCATTCATTATATAAGTCTAGTCTTGAACATACTCTTTACAAAAGAATTAGAATATTAGCAGCAACAATTTAGAATATAAAAGTAAAATATATTTTTATTGAATATCATTAACATACAGCATTATATTAGTTCAGGCGTACAGTATAATGATTCAATTATTCTATATATTACTTAGTGCTCATCATGATAAGTATACTCTTAAAGGTAAAATATTTTTAAATAAATGTTGCCATATCTATGTATTGCTTTGTTTCTTGTGATGTGAAGACCAGAATATGTGAGTCTTCAGAACACAGTGACTTAAATATTTTATTCTCTTTGATAATTTGCAATGCAGTCTTGTCATTATTGAGTTATTGAACCTCATGAAAACAATTTTTCTTTCCCAGTAATAATATCTCTTCAAAGTTCTGTATTTTAAGTACAGATAAAATCTCTCTGCATTGGTCTCTGGATATTTTGCAGAGCTGGTTACCTATTTCATGATCTTGTTTGGTTAAATTTCTTCACATATTTATTTGCAAAAGGGACATCCATGGGGAGTTAGGACTGTGTGGGTCAGAACTTGCCTCCCTTTATACAACACACATTTGTGATATATTCAGATTTTCAGATTAAACTATATTTATCTACTGAGTTACATTACAATTTCAAATTACTGTTTATTCATTTCCAAATGACTTTCAATGATCGGTAATCTTTATATCCCAGATTTCCTTTCTTCATTATCTATATCAAATAGTTAGCAATCTATAATAAACTCAGGAAGCTGCTATTTAAAGGAATCTTCTACTGAATTCATTTGTAAAATGAAAAATGTTTATGTAAAACAATAAGTTTCAGATAGGAAAGACTTTTTAGAAACAATTTTTTCTTATAAACATCCAGCCCAAAATAGAATTTTCTTCACCTATTTTTATCAAGGGCTCCAAATATAGAGTTAAATATATTCTTTTTCAGTGTACGAGTCAGCATTTTTTGCAGCTCCAAACCCAAAAGGAAGATCTGAAAAGATTGTTTGTATTACGAATATTCAAAAATTGAAAGTAAAAGAGGGAGAAGGGGGTGTAATACAAAGTATGTTTAAGTCCCTCCTTGTATTCTGGGAAATTTTTGGCACTCCCCAGAGGAAAAAAGAAGTGCCTGTACTTTGTTTACATTGTAGTTGGTGACAGAATCAACTCAGCACCACTCATTTTATACCCACTATACCCAAGTGGGGAAAGACAACTGAACAAGAAGGCAGGCACACAAAGACTATAATAGAAAAGAGAAATTACACCATGGGAGAGTATATATTTACAAACCTATTGGAGAGAAAGAGAAGAGTATAATAGGAAGTGAAGAAATGATTTCTCTGTTTGTCAAAAAGCATAAATTTCCTGATGCTTTGGAAGTAAACAAAGCATGAACCAAGAATCCTTGGGAAAGTTCATCCTTCAGTTCAGACAACAAGATACTACATCATGACTTGTTTAGATTTGCTCCAAAATAACCCATTTTGAGACTATGTTGCAAGTGTACTTTCAAGAATTGTTTTGTAAGAATAAGACTATCAAACCTGATACAAGAACAAGTAGAAAATCTGATAGACTTATATGTACATATGTATGTGTAAGTTTAATCAGTAATTAAACCCTTCCCACAAAGAAATCTCAAGGCTCAGATGGCTTCCCCAGTGAATTCTTCCAAACATCTAAACAAATAACACCACTAGTATATAAATTCTTCCAGAAAATTGAAAAAGAGGAAATATTGTCTAACTTGTTCTATTGAAGCCAACAAAACTAAGATACAAAACCTGATAAGGACATTTTAAAAAAAAGGAAAATTGTAAGCCAAATTCTTTCACAAATAGAGATGTGAAAATCCTAATCAAGATATTAGCAAATCAAATCTAACACACACTGAAATGGTAATATGTGACCAAGTTAAGTTTATTCCAGGATTTCAGGGATAGTGTAACATTTAAAACATCAGTAGTAATTCACCACATTTAAAGAATATATCAGAAATTTCTTATGATCATCACACCACATGCAGGAATATTATTTAACAAAACTCAATACCCATTCATGTTTCAAAAAGACTCATAGCAAACTAAGAATAGAAGGCAACTTCTGTAATCTAAGAAAGAATAATAAAATAATAGTCAGCAAGCATATTAATACTGAAGTATTTAAAGTTTGCCCACTAAGATTAGAAACAAGACAAAGACACCCCACATTATCAGTTCAATGTGTAAAAATCCAGTTTAATTCTGTGTACAATAAAATTAGAAATTAACTTTTTAAAATATTAGCACCATTTACAATAGCATAAAATACCTAGGAATAAAGCTGATGAAAGAAAAGATCTCTACACATAAAATTACACTATGCTATTGAAAGAAATTAAAGATGGTCTAAATAAGTGGAGATCAAAATGAGAATTTAGATCTACAGGAGAATAAATAAAAACTGTATGAACTGGAAGACTCAAATTTGTAAAAATGACAACTCTGCCAAATTTATCTATAAATTAAATATAATACCAACCGAAGTACCAGAACTATATGTAAATAGATAAGATGATCCTAGAATTTCTATGGAAATGAGTGTGGGAGGAGCTAAGAAGCCAGCACAATCCTTAAAGAATAAAATCAAAGCTGGAAGACTTAAACCACCAGATATCAAGACTTATCACTCTACAGAAATTAAAACAGATACATAAAAGATATAAAAAATTACAATACTGTATCATTTTGTTTGAATAAAGTTTAAGAACAGACACAACTAACAGATGGAGATAGAATTCAGAATAGTGGTCATCCTTGGGTAATCACAGAGGGCCCAGGAAACTGAGTAGCAATAATGTTCTACTTGCTCAGTTTGTGAAAATTCGTTTATAATGTGCTCCCTTTTCTAGATGTATGTTGTATATCAGTTAAAATTTTATTTAAAAATTAAGAAAAAAGAATTATTCTTATATAACGGTCATCACAATAAACATAGACTTTTTTCTTTTCAGCTCTTTATCAACTCTGCTGCTAAGAGCTGTAAGTCACAGCAGTGCTGTATTTTTCAAAGAAGTTAGCCATTGTCTCTGCACCTTTTATGAGTCACTTTATGGCATCCTAAATCACTCCCAAGCAGTGTTACTAGTCTTCTATAGTCCTGTATCTCTTAATTGGAATACCACTTTCCAATACTGGTGTTCTATGTTCACACCAGATTCAGAATATTATAGATGACTCCATGGTATGAATCAGAATTTTCCTTGTTGAAATGGAGATTTTTTTTCCCTAGCATCTTGGCTCTACTGGTACTTTTTTTTTCTTCTTCTCCATAGGCAATGATGAGGCAGTAGCTGACACCAACAGGCGTGTGGATGGAGCCCTAGCAAGGAAGAGTGCTCTCAAAAACAGATTGAATGATGCCATTAAGCGACTACAAGCCACAGAGAGAGGTAAGGGTCACAGACAAGAACTTAACCCTCATCTGTTTTTTTGCTGGGATTAAAATAAACCCTTGAGGAAGGAGCACATGATCCCTTACTTGAAATCCTTTTATAAATAAATATTGTTTTCTGGTGACAAAAGAAACTATATTCATCACACACACACACACACACATCCTGGAAAATAATTGTGAAAGCTATAATCATACCACCTAGGGGTGACCATTAAATTTGAGAGCATTTGTATGTGTGCGTACTTGTGCATGTGCATGTGTGCGTGTGCCTTAATGAGATCATGCTGCTTATACTATTTGGTAATCCACTTCCTTGTGAACATTCCTTCTTCGTTAATAAATATGCCCTAATTTTGTTACTGGGTCTCTCTGGCCCCAACTGTAAATAGCTGCCTCTGTTCCATGCCGTGTCATTCTTATAGTACAAGTAGGGAGACCACCAAGCCAGATGGAGACACAAGAGCACTCATTTTGCCTAATCTGGGACTACAGTGGTATCTTAAAAAGATGGGCTGGGAACCCGATGTGCCTTCGCTGGTATAGTGAAAGTGGACACATTACTGCTGGATGTGAGTTTTCTCCTACGTGGAGCAAATCCGGCTAATGTATCATAGTACACCAAAACCCCAACCAGGAAGGTGTCATCCATTGAGAATTGCTGTCATCAGCACCATCAGAGCCACCACATGCTGGGCACTGCACTGTGTTTTATATACATTACATCATGTGGGGAAGTATCACCATTGCCTTTACATAGTAGTGAACCCTAAGGCTTGTCAAGGTTTGGGAACTTGCTCCAAAAGGCACAGCTCCAAAAAGAAGCAGGCCCAGCATTCAGAGCTGCATCCATCAGAGTTCAAATCGTGTGAGGTTGAATTAAATGTTCCTCCACTTAAGAAAAAGTAAAGCTACAACCTCACCTGAGTGACTTTTATTACAAAAGTAATACATGATTATTATAGAAAGAGTAGAAAATACAGATAGGAAGAAGAACAAAAGAAGAAAAATCTTTTATAATCTCATTACCTAGGAAAAAAACATTTTGTTGTAAACTTACATTACTTTTATTTTAAATACACAGTTTTTAAATAAAAATAGAATGTCACTATAGATACTATTTTGAAACTTGCTCTTACTATTTAAAAATAATTTTCCTTACTGATTTACTTCTGTAGTAGAACATCATTTTTATGGCAAAAGGTGTCCCACATAGAAGAAAGTGATATTTACAATGATTTCAGACATGAACATTTTATGAGATAAAATCTCGTATGTGTTTTCTGTGGATTTCTTACCAGGTCTCTAACCTGAAGAAATACTAATTACTTTTTAAAAAATATACCTCTAATTTGAAAATGTTTTAAGTGGGCTACATGATTTTAATGAGACTCTGGAGTCTTTCAAGCTCACTTTTTAATGCTACCTTAACAGTTTTCTAACATACCATAATTAACATATATTTAAAGATCTTTGTGCAGCTTAAAAATCCAAAACTTGAGGTCTGTTTTATCCCGGTGATTAAATGGATATTGATGTTCCCAACAAATGTCCTACTTCTCTGCAAAGTGAGTGTCCCTGTGCTCTCTGTGAAGGTGACACTCCACAGCGCCTGGGTCAGTCGAAGCTGATCACGGAGGAGGCTAACAAGACCACAGTGGAAGTCCAGCAGGCAGCCACTCCCATGGCTAACAATCTAACCAACTGGTCGCAAAATCTTCAGAGTTTTGACTCTTCTGCTTACAACACTGCAGTGGACTCTGCCCAAGATGCAGGTATCACGGTTTGCATCCAGTTGAATTGGCCGTTAAACTCAACACATCTTTCATTAAGAAGCATTTTTTTTTTCATTTGGGTGTTAGATTGGAATATTGTAAAAATTAGCTTAGAAAAAATGAAAAATTTTGCTCAGTTCATCTATCAATATATGTATGTGTATGTGCGTATGAAATATATATTTCACATAAAAACACTGGAGAGATTGGTTAAGAATCTTTTTTTTTTCTAGATGAAATAGTGGCAACACTGATTTTTGTCAATGTTAAGTCTGTTCCTTTGGAGAAGAACGTCAATCACAAAATATTGGTTTACTTTTAGGAAACATATTTACTAAACTGCATTGCTTTGTCCTTACCTGAGTAAAGCAGGTTATTACCAACAAGTACTGACTACTGCCAAACATAACTGAAGGTTCCCATGAAGAACAGTTTGGGGGTGCCTGGGTGGTGCAGTCAGTTAACTTTCCGGCTCTTGGTTTCCACTCAGGTCATGATCTCGGGTCATGATATCAAGCCCCACACCAGGCTTTCTGCTCAGCATGGAGTCTGCTTGAGATTCTCTCTCCCTCTCCCTCTGTCCCTCCTGCTCATGCATGCTCTCTCTCTGTCTCTCTCAAATAAATAAATAAATCTCAAAAAAAAAAAATAGAAGAACAGTTTGTTGGCCAGTTTGAATACAAATTTATAGCAATGAAAATGAAATATTCTGTTATCTACCTAATTTATTTAGTTATACACAGATATTAAAATCACATATTACCATGTTTATTTAATCTCTTCTACCTCTTAAATATCAATGCCTTTGTCATGACTAGAACTTTCTGTTCTCCAGCATGGTTTTGCAGAACATATTACCTTCACTTCCACCTGAGTTAAGAAACAACTTTATTAATCCATATATGATCTGTCTGTCACTAGAAATTTTATCCCAGGTCACAAATATTCATTCCCGTTACAAGGAGATAATTGTTATGTTCATCTCTTAAGTATATACTTGTGAGTTCTTCCATGTAACCGCTCACCTAATTGCATTTAGAACTTGATCTTTCAAAGATTTGCCTACATGACATCTAACATTTACATTTATAAATACAGAGCCTCAGGAATATTTACTAAATCTGTGTTAAATTTTTTTCTTCCTTTTTCAGTCCAATCCATGATTCCAATAAGCATCCAGAACTACTACTAATTGAAACTGTTTCAGGCCTCTGTATTTTCCTCAGATAGCATTTTGTGGTTCAAATCAAAGTAAATGAAAGGGCATACCACAATATAAGAGACTTTATAGGGGCTCCTGGGTGGCTCAGTCGTTAAGTGTCTGCCTTCGGCTCAGGTCATGATCCCAGGGTCCTGGAATCGAGCCCCGTGTCGGGCTCCCTGCTCAGCTGGGAGTCTGCTTCTCCCTCTCCCTCTCTCCCTGCTTGTGTTCCCTCTTTCACTGTGTCTCTCTCTGTCAAATAAATAAATAAATAAATAAATAAATAAATAAAAATTTAAAAAAAGAGAGACTTTATAAAGACTCTAATAGAAGGTGGCTCCCTTTCTCAGAGAACTGAGGACAGGGAAAACCTGTTTTATATATATTTCCATAATCAAAATTTAATGTAACACATTAAATATACTTTATTACCTGTAATTTTTAAAGACTGTTATACTATAAAATGGCTATTGCAGTCAGTCTTGCAAACAACAAATATTTATCTCTATATTAATCAATACAATAAAGTGATAATTGCTATTATTTTCCTTAATTCCATTCCTTACGATAGAGAAGCACCCTACTTCCTAAATAAAGAAAAGAGACTTATCCTTGGTCCTCACTGACATATTAATCTGAGTTTAGTTTGGCTCCAGTAAGAGGCTTCCGCTTTTCCTGCTGCTACAGCTTAGTGACCATGGCTCTGCCCTCCACTGGCAAAATACCCAAAAGATATTCATTCTCTAGTCCAGTGGTTCGTAAACCTTCGTGCACTTCCGAATCACCCGTGCCTCACTCCCAGAGTTTCTGATTCAGCAGGTTTGGGTTGGAGCCACAGATTTTGCATTTCTAACAAGTTCCCTGATGATGCTGATGCTGCTGGTCTGTGGACCACACGTTGAGAACCACTGGTCCAGTTCATGAAACCTTAGAGAAGGTTATGCCATTCTCCCTGTTTTGGGTTTCTCTCATCTAGCTGTATAAATATGATTTATTCTCTCTTTTTTTAAGATTTTATTTATTTATTTTAGAAAGAGAACATGTGAGCAGGGGGAGGAACAGAGGGAGAGGGACAAGCAGACTCCGTGGTGAGTGCGGAGCAGGCACGGGGGCTCAATCTCACGTCCCTGAGATCATGACCTGAGCTGAAATCAAGGGTCTGGTGCTTAGCCAAGTGAGCCACCCAGGTGCCCCTATTCCTTTTTCTACGTGTACCTCATACCTTAAAAAAAACCCAAAACAAAAAAACACAACCTACAAAGTCAGTATGATGTGTTTGTACCATCACCCTTATTGGGCCCATAGACCATGGCGCCCACCCCCTCCTTGGCACAACTGCCACTCTTCTGGGTGCTCTGTTCCTTCCTCCATGTAGCTCTGCCTCCGTGTGGACCATTGCAGCGGCGGTGTGATGTAGGAATAGCCACCCTGGGAAGCAACGTTCCCACCTCCTTTTGCCCAGCCTTCCTTTAGACTTGTTATATGAGTTCCATTGGAAACGCAAGCAGACCCTGTGCTATGCGGTGAAAGGAGCATCTGTATGTGTGTGGTGGGTCCTGCCCTTCAGAAATGTACATTGTAAGTCGGCTCACTCTACAAATACTTTTTAGACTGATAGACATTATAAATGCCGCAAAATAGGAATTGCTTATGTATTGGGCTTAACTATTCATTTTGCAGGGTTACAAATAATTATAGTTCTCACAGAAGTAAGCCTGTGTCTGTTGTCTCTTCACTTGATTCCTTACAGATAGTTAATATTAGTTAATAGAGTTGAGATATTTACTCAAGTGATTAATTTTTATTAACTGCAGTAAGAAATCTGACAGAGGTTGTCCCTCAGCTCCTGGATCAGCTCCGCACCGTAGAACAGAAGCGGCCTGCGAGCAACGTCTCTGCCAGCATCCAGAGGATCCGGGAGCTTATTGCTCAGACCAGGAGCGTGGCCAGCAAGGTAAAAAGGACTCTGCGTCAGTACTCGCTGATCGTGAGACCATGAAACTGAACAGCAAGGCCTCAGGCAGCTGCCAGAGCCTGGAACTTTTCTACTTCAGTAGTTTTTTGTTGTAGTTCTTTTTTTTTTTTTTTAATTTTTTTTATTTGAGTGAGAGAACACAAGCAGGGGTGGGGGAAGGGCAGAGGCAGAGGGAGAAGCCGACTTCCCGCGGAGCAGGGAGTCCGATGCGGGACTCGATCCCAGGATGCTGGGATCACGACCTGAACCGAAGGCAGATGTTTAACCCCCTGAGTCACCCAGGTGCCCCGTCCACTTCAATAGTTCTAAGCACCACCTGGATCTGTTCATTAGAATTGCATGAGGAGCTGTGAAAACTAAACCGGTTCCCAGTCCCAACCTCAAAGCCATCTATCAGGCTCTCTAGAGGACGGGCTCAGTACCTGTATTTTTTAAAAGCGTCCATGTAATTCTTATGGATAGCCAAGATTAAGAGTCACAGGGTTAACCTAGTCAACAAAGCTCATAGAGCAAAAGAAATTGAGTAAAGCAAACACCAATAGAAGACTTGATTTATTCTTGTTATTATTATTAATTATTTGAATAGGTGTTTCAGTGCAACTACTATGTGGAATAATCTTGCCCATCTACCTCTTCAAGGAATTCTCTGGTATAACACTGATAACAGGGAGCCTTCACTGACCCCTCCACAGGCATCACTGGGGAATCACAGACCACCTAAACTGAACAATCTCAACAGAGGCCCTGTCCTGAGATGCAGAGGCCACACGGCGACACCAAAACTCAATTAATGTTTTCAGTGTGGTAAATAGGGCTCATTCTTGGCCCTCTTTTTCATTTATTTTTTATTAATGTATAGACCGGCATCATTTTTACAGCCGAATTACATGGTTTTATTTTCTCAATTGCGAATTGGCCTGAACAGACCATGGGCCCGAAGTACTCACAGAAAGAAGGGTTGGAAATCAACTATTTTGTAATGGAGGAGATTATTATTGGTAAATATATCCAACTTTTAAATGATATGTGATAATTGGTCCCACACCACAAATTACCTTTGTTAGATACTTTGGGGAGCATTTCAAGAAAAGCTTAGCATGAAGAAATGTTATTTCCAAAGCTAGGTTTCTGTGAGTGCTTTCTGGTAATTTGATTTAAATGGAGAAGAATTTGGAGAACTTAATCACCTAAAACCATTTTCTAAAGAGAGTCTTGGCAATGCCTTTGGGAGCCCACTTGGCTCCCCGAAGTGAGATGCTTTCTGTGCAGATATATTTCCTTCTCAGACTCAATTTTTACAAAAAAAAAAAAGACTTTAATCCCATGAACTGTTTGATTGTTTATTAAGATGATTGATTTTTACTCAACTAGCAACGTAGGACAGCTGTATTCTAGGCACTTGGGAATATAATCTTGAGTTTACTGACCGTCAGTATTAACCAAATCAATATTAAATAATGGGTGTCAATACATCTAATTATTCAGAAATATTTGCATGAGTGGCATGGATATAAAAAGTCTCTCCACTTCTGAATACTCAGAAAATCACCCTGAACTAGATCAGCTCAGCTTATTAATTTGGGCCTCTCAGAAATACATCTACTGAATTGTGCTTTGTTTTGATGCCTTTCTAAGAATTATTATAAGAAACATCTTAATGAACGCCTCTTTACAATTATAATGATGATAGAGCCAGGAACTGGAAAGTACTTTATAGTTATTATCTTATTTCATTCAGCAAATTTTTTTGTCAGCACTTTACAGTTGAAGAAACTGCAGGTTAAGTGACTTGCTCATGGTTACATAGCTAGTAAGAGGCAAAACCAGGTTTCAGGGCCCTAAGCCTCCAAAGCTGGGTCTAGAACCCTCCCAACAGTCCAGGCGTGCTCAAGGTTGTTACTCACAGCCTTACTTCATGTTCCTCTTTTGAAGACCCTGAGGAGAAAGTTCTAGCCATAGTAGTACCCAAGATGAGTTATACTTCTCCTGATCAATTAGTCGTTAATTTTATGGGCCTCATGAATTGTATAACTGACCAGGAATCCCGTCAAGCTGTTTAGTTCACTCCAACCAAGGGTGTAGTTAATTGTGGAATTCGTATTTATCCTCATCGTGGATCTGCTTTGTCACGCTTTTTTGGCTTCCTTTCACCCCACTTTAAATTTAAATGATGATGTTATCATCTGCCTTGACCCCTTTCTCCCACAAGGTGAGGACATCAGGAAATAAGGACAAGGAAGGGAGTAGGGCTCAGAGAGCCCATAAAGACTGAGGGAAGCCTGCTGGGAACCATGGGAGAGAGTTGTGCCCATTTCTGCAGGTTGCTTTTAACAGAAACATTCTGTAACTCCAGATCCAAGTCTCAATGATGTTTGACGGCCAGTCAGCAGTCGAGGTGCACCCCAAAACCAGTATGGATGACTTAAAGACCTTCACGTCCCTGAGCCTGTACATGAGACCTCCCCCCGTGAAGCAGCCAGAGCTGGCTGGGGCTACAGACCGCTTCATCCTGTACCTCGGAAGCAAACACGTAAGAGCAGGACATGGTTTTTTTTTTCTAGTAAATTAATTTATTTTTTTAACTTCTTCCTTTTTTAAATTTAAATTCAATTAGCCAACATAGAGTACACCATTAGTTTCAGATGTAGAGTTCAATAATTCATCAGTTGCGTATAACACCCAGGAGAACATGACATTTGAAAAGAGAGAATAATATTCAAAGGAAAGACAGGTGCTTTTCTCTTGCCTTAAAACAAAACTACCTATGCACACAAACAAAATTCCCGTTCTGGTAACTCAAAAAGTACAGATCACTTTAATGCCAAGACTGAAGTAGTGATTTAAAGACAAGTAATTTCTTCTCTGTGTGGGATATTTCTGGGGCTGCTTCATTATCAGCCTCACGCTGCTCATTGAATGTAGCATTTCAAGGACTTTGGGGCCACGGAGGCCTATTACGTGTGATGCTGCACCCTGTTTGAAGAGGCAGAGCAATCGGTATCAGCAGGCTGCATTATGTCCCTGGGTTAACCAGACCGGATTAGCACACTCCTGGAAGCCATTGAATGTCCACAAGCCTGCAGTTGCCTGCCTCCCTGTCCGGGATGCGCTTGGACACGCACAAGGGGGCAGCAGACCGATGTAGCCACAGGGAGGCTGAAAAGGAAGAGACACTGCCCAATCTAACAGAAACTTTGTAACAATTCAGGCTGGATTTGCCTTGGAGACAGCCAAGCACTTGGATTGATGATCGTCCTTTAAAGAAATGAAAACAAAATATGATGTTCATTCATATGGATTTTATTTAAATGACTTCTTGACATTTCAGGCCAAAAAAGAATACATGGGTCTTGCAATCAAAAACGATAACCTGGTATACATTTATAATTTGGGAGCTAAGGATGTAGAGATTCCCCTGGACTCCAAACCCGTCAGTACCTGGCCTGCCTACTTCAGCATTGTCAAGATTGAAAGGTAAAGTGAACATGGCTTCTGTGCACATTTCATAAGAAATCTGTTGAACACATGCGTGCGCACACGCACGCACATGCACACACACACACACACACACAGTCTTCCTGTCGATGTTTAAATAGCATTTTCTTCCCTTTATTGTTGTTCCTCTTTTTCTCCATTATTCCTATAGTCCTTCCCAAATACCTAAGTGGAAAACAAAAGATTAGAAAAAAAAAAATACTCATCATTTCTAAAGAGCAATCTGATTATTGGATCTTTTTATCTGGCCAATCCATGCGTTAATTCCAAGATGGAATATCTTTTTTTTCCCTCTTTCCATTGATTGTTGACATTCTGTAAAAGCTTACGCATGTGATAAAGTCAAATCACCAATTCTGTGATGAGGGAACATTCACATTCTGACATTTAAAAAAACATATTTTCTACAAATTATCTGGCTAATAAAGACTGAAAATTCTTAACAGGGTAGGAAAACATGGAAAGGTGTTTTTGACAGTCCCAAGTCTAAGTAGCACTGCAGAGGAAAAGTTTATTAAAAAGGGAGAATTTGCGGGAGATGACTCCTTGTTGGATCTGGACCCTGAGGACACCGTGTTTTATGTTGGTGGCGTGCCTTCAAACTTCAAGGTAAGCTATCCAGCCAGATTCGGACTTACTGAAAATCTACACTGATTGTTTTTCAAAAATCCATAAAACCTACAAGGATTTGGGGGTGGGATAGAAATCTTGATGTTTCTATAAATCTGGTATATAAATCTGGTCTGTGCTGCCCATATTTTCATGGTGTCAAGTGCTTTCAAGCTATAGCTAACACTTGAATATCAATTCATTTCATTCAGATACATGTATATGTAATTGATATTACCCCCACCCGCTACTGCAAGAGTGTGTGGACCTTGTGGGCTTGCTAGGTTCACAATGACAGTTTCAAAACCTCAGTTATTTCAACTAATATAGACATGAAATAAAATACTTGGGATGAGGAAAGGGGTGGACCTAGGCTGGAGTATGAGGCCTGGTGAAGGGCAAACAAATGAAAGGCCCAGATAGGGAGATAGGGAGTTGATGTAGGATTTCAATCCCAAGGCTATTACTTACTAGTTACAGGCATATTATTGAACCTCTCTGAGAATTACTTTCCTTCTGTTGATATGAAAACAGGAATACCTACCTCAAAGAGCTGCTGAAAGAATTGATTTTGGTACTGAATTCACTGTTCAGTAGGTGACTGATACATAGTATATACTCAACAAATCCCATTCTGTCTACTAGATAAGCACAACTGAAAAATCATTGTTTATCTAAATTATCTGGCCCAGAGGAGACACAGGTCTAGAAAGATATTTATATATATGGGTAGTTCCCCTTGACCCATTATCTATTTCATTGTCTGTTCTGTATTATTTGGGTGAAATGCCATCATGGGGTAATTGACTTTGTCTGTTGCACAGCTCCCAGCAAGCTTAAACCTGCCTGGCTTCGTTGGCTGCCTGGAATTAGCCACTTTGAATAGTGATGTGATCAGCTTGTACAACTTTAAGCACATCTATAACATGGATCCCTCCAAGTCAGTACCCTGTGCCAGGTAAGAAAGTGTTAAGAGTACTAAAGACTTTGATAGCCACATGAGAGCAGCGGATGAAACAACCGTGGATCAATATTCAGGTTCTCAGTTTTTTCTTTGGAGAACCCAGTCTTGAAATTGCATAATAATCATGCCTGCAAAAATCATTTCAGTTCTTCTCTATCACAGATGATCATGTACAATTATTAAAAGTGTTAAACAACTTGTTTGCAGCTTTAATTGAGGATTCCAGAGGCTATGGGGCACCTGGGTGGCTCAGTCAGTGAAGCGTCTGCCTTCAGCTCAGGTCATGGTCCCTGGTCCTGGGATCGAGCCCCACATTGGGCTACTTGCTCAACGGGGGCCTGCTTCTCCCTCTGCCTGCCCCTCCCCCTGCTTGTGCTCTCTCTCTCTGACAAATAAATAAAATCTTTTTAAAAAAAGGATTCCAGAGACTGGAAACTTCTGTTGTCTTAGCACAAAGGGTAGAAAAGAAATCCATTCAAAATAACTCATTAGGATAAGGAAGATGTGGTATATATATATATATATATATATACATACAATGGAATACAATGAGGGGTGCCTGGGTGGCTCAGATGGTTAAGCATCTGCCTTCAGCTTGGGTCATGATCCCAGGGTCCTGGGGTCGAGCCCCACGTCCGGCTCCTGGCTCAGCGGGGAGCCTGCTTCTTCCTCTGCCTCTCCCCCTGCTTGTGCTCTCTCTCTCTCTCTCTGTATCCCTGTGTCTCGAGTGAATAAATAAAAATCTTTAAAAAAAAAAAAATGGAATACAATGAGATCTTGCCATTTGCAACAACGTGAATGGATCTAGAGAGTATAATGCTAAGCAAAATAAGTCAGTCAGAGGAAGACAAATACCATATGTTTCACTCATATGTGGAATTTAAGAAATAAAACAGATGAACATGGGGTGGGGGAGAGAGAGGCAAACCAGAAAACAAACTCTTACCTATAGAGAACAAAGTGAAGGTTGCTGGAGGGGAGGTGGGCAGGGGGACGGCCTAGATGAGTGATAGGCATTAGGAGGGCACTTGCTGTGATGAGCACTGAGTGTTGTAGGTAAGGGATAAATCACTAAATTCTAAACCTGAAACTAAAAAAATTTAAAAAATAAAAAATAAAACCATTCATTTAACTTACCTATAGATACTTCTCCATGTCTTCCATGTAGACATTGGAACTTCGTTTATTTTTTTTCAAGTTTTTATTTAAATTCCAGTTAGTTAACATACAGTGTAATATTAGTTTCAGGTGTAGAATTTAGTGATTCATCACTTACATACAACACCCAGTGCTCATCACAGCAAGTGCCCTCCTTAATGCCTATCATCCCTCCAGCCCGTCTCCCCCCACCACCGCCCCTCCAGCAATCCTCAGTTTGTTCTCTATAGTTTTCTGGTTTCTGGTTTGCCTCTCTTTTTTTCCCCCTATGTTCATCTGTTTTGTTTCTTAAATTCCACATATTTAAATGCTGTAAGGTCCATGGAAGATGTCATGACAATGGGTTGAAAGGGCCTCATGTGAAAAGCGTAATGCAAACTGTCATGTTCATATGATCCTTGCATTTTTATTTCAGAGATAAACTGGCCTTCACTCAGAGTCGGGCCGCCAGCTATTTCTTCGATGGCTCTAGTTATGCCGTAGTAAGGGATATCACGAGGAGGGGGAAATTCGGTCAGGTGACTCGCTTTGACATAGAAGTTCGAACACCAGCTGACAATGGCCTCGTGCTCCTGATGGTCAATGGAGTGAGTAAAAATAAAAGTCCTTTATCTTCTCAGTTATATCCTCTACTTTCTCCTATGCATATTACTAGGAACCTTCCCAGGTTGAGTGTGTCATGCCACCAACCTGAAGTTTTCGTTTAGAAAGCAAAATTGGATTTCTTTTTCTTTAGGGAAGTGATGTCAGCAATAAGTAATTACTGCAGCTCTGAAATGCATTTTTGGATGTATGTTAAATATAACCCCTTTTAATAAACTAGGGAATCTTGCAGAAAATCAGCACCAAGGTCTAGGTGGGTAGTGTGTCTGCAGAAATTTAGCACTGACTTTTTTACATCATATGCCTATATCAGTTAAAAAAAAAATAGCATGCTTACTATAAATATATGCATTTCTTTATTAATGATATACATCAAAGTGTGAAATAGTGTACTTTATTAATGATTTTTCATAATAATAATCCATATTTTATTATAGAGATAATATTCAAAACTAGGAATAAGAGACAATTTGTATAAAGATAAAATATTGAATAAAAATAAATACAACCTTAAAATAAAGATGAAATAAAATAAAATTATTTTCTATTTGTTAATGGTATAAATATTAATAGCAGTGTTAGTAAGAACAATGTAATTAAATATGCCTATGTTTTTTGGAAGTCTCATTAACTCTTTGAGATACAGTGACTCAAAAGTCTTATCCTAAGTCCAACTGATTTCAATACTAAGTTTTATTGACTGTCAAAACTGAACAAAGTACCTCAAAAATAAACATGTAAGATGTGTATCATTGGCAATGCTGACTAAATCATGATACCATTTTTCAGTCTTTTTCACTAATTGGCAAAAGTTGTCTTTGAATTTGGCTGGTACGTTTCCATCTTTTCTGATGTCAGTTCTTGCTAGCTAATCAGATGTTGCATCATTTTATAAACTTTAGCAAAAGAACTCAAGACCATTGAAATCTTTATTTAAAATATTTTAAAACAGGTTAGAAATTTTTTTCTAAAATTATTTTAATAGTGCAGATGAGAGTTTTTATAGATAGTATACATTGTTTTCATCAATGAATTCATTTAACAATAGAAAATTTTACAAATATGTTTTTTAAAAACCATCTCTCCAGAGTACAACTTTCTTCAAGAAAGTTACTTTCTCTTCAGTAATCTGTTGCATTCCTATACACTAATAATGAAGCAACACAAAAAGAAATTAAGAAAAAAATCTCATTTGTAATTGCACCAAAAATAATAAAATATCTAGAAATAAACTTAACTAAAGAGGTGAAAGGTCTGTACTCTGAAAACTATAAAACACTGATGAAAGAAATTAAATAGGAAGACATTCCATGCTCATGGATTAGAAGAATAAATATTGTTAAAAGTCTATACTACTCAAAGCAGTCTACAGATTAAATGGAATCCCTATCAAAATGCCAACAGCATTTTTCACAAAACTAAAAAAAAAATCCTAAAATTTGTATGGAACCAGAAAAGACCCTGAATAGCCAAAGCAATCTTGAAAAAGAAAAACAAAACCAGAGATCTCATAATTACAGTGCAAGTTATATTACAAAGCTGTAGTAATCAAAACAGTATGGTGCTGGCACAAAAATAGACACATAGATCAATGGAACAGAATGGAAAACCCAGAAATAAACTCACAACTCTAAGGTCAATTAATCTTCAACAAAGGATAAATGAATACACAATGAGGAAAAGACAGTCTCTTCAACAAATGGTGGTGGGAAAACTGGACAGCTACATGCAAAAGAATGAAACTGGACCACATTCTTACACCATACACAAAATAAACTCAAAATGGGTTAAAGACCTAAATGTGAGACCTGAAACCATAAAAATTCTAGAAGAGAGCACAGGCAGTAATGTCTCTGACATTGGCCTTAGCAACATTTTTCTAGATGTGTCTCCTGAGACAAGGGAAAAAAGCAAAAATAAGCTATTGGGACTACATCAAAATAAAAAGCTTCTGCACGGTGAAGGAAACAAGCAACAAAACTCAAAGGCAGCCTATGGGATGGGAGAAAATATTTGCAAATGACATATCTGATAAAGGGTTAGTATCCAAAATATATAAAGAACTGATACAACTCAACACCCAAAAAAACAAATAATCCAATTTAAAAATAGGCAGAAGACATGAACAGACATTTCTCCAAAGAAGATATCCAGATGGCCAACAGACACATGAAAAGATCTCAATCTCACTCATCATCAGGAAAATGCAAATCAAAACTACAATGAGAAGAAAGAAAAACTACAATGAGGTATCACCTCACACATGTCAGAATGGCTGAAGTAAAAAACACAAGAAACAGGTGTTGGTAGAGAAGTGAAAAAAAAGGGACCCTCTTGCACTGTTGGTGGGAATGCAAACTGATGCAGCCACTGTGGAAAACAGTGTGGAGGTTCCTCAAAAAATTAAGAATAGAACTACCCTTTGATCCAGGGATCACTACTGGGCATTTACCCAAAAAATACAGAAATGCTAATTCAAAGGGATACAAGCACCCCTATGTTTATAGCAGCATTATCTATAATAGCCAAATTATGGAAGCAGCCCAGGTGTCCATTGATAGGTGCATGGATAAAGAAGATGTGGTTTATATATACAATGGAATATTATTCAACCTTAAAAAAGAATGAAATCTTGGGTGCCTGGATGGCTCAGTTGGTTAAGCGACTGCCTTCGGCTCAGGTCGTGATCCTGGAGTCCCGGGATTGAGTCCCACATCGGGCTCCCTGCTCAGCGGGGAGTCTGCTTCTCCCTCTGACCCTCCCCCCTCTCATGCTCTCTCTATCTCATTCTCTCTCTCAAATAAATAAATAAAATCTTTAAAAAAAAAAGAATGAAATCTTGCCATTTGCAATGACATGGATGGAGCTAGAGAATATAATGTTAAATGATATAAGTCAGTCAGAGAAAGACAAATACCATATGATTTCACTCACAAGTGGAATTTAAGGAACAAAACAAACAAGCAAAGGGGAAAGAAAAGAGAGAGAGAGAGAGAGACAAACCAAGAAACAGACTCTTAACTATAGAGAACAAACTGATGGTTACCAAAGGGGAAGTGGGTGGGGGGATGCGGGATGGGGATTAAGGCATGCACCTGTTGTGATGAGCACCAGCTGATGTATGGAAGTGTTGAATCACTATATTGTATACCTGGAACTAATATAATACTGCTTGTTAACTCTACTGGAATTAAAATAAAAAATAAATAACAAAAATTTTAAAGAGTTACTTTTTCATGCATTGTTATAATAATACCCCTCCCTTGAAATGAGAGATCAAGTTTTTTTTTAAATAACCAGTAAGTTTCATAGTACTGAAAGACATTTGTCATGACAAATGAAAGTCAACAAATTTATAATTACTGATTTTATAAAGAAAATGTGTAACCCTCTTTAAACTTGACAGCATTTTTAGTCATTTGCAAGAAGTAATTTGCAAATGTCAGTGTCTCAAAAATATTTTCACATCATTGCATCTCAAAAGAAAATCATTATAAATATTCTATTATTTAAGTCTTCTCACATGTAAGTCTGTGTAACCAGACACACATAAACTGCAATAAACCGCAATAGGGCTAAAAGCAAAGAAATGGGTGAGGGGCCATTGCCAGCCTTCAAGTGTGAAACTATGCTCTCAAAGCCTCAGATACCATGTGAAGCGCATGAAAATCTGTCCAAAGGACAAAATGAAGGCCCAGCTCAGTCCATGTGTTAAATACTAAAAGTTAATTTTTTTCTCTATTTTAGAGTTTTAAAAATTAGTATAAATGGAAGTTGGAATATTTTCTTTCTTTCCCCTAATATATTATTTTCCATTTCTCAGGAGAATACAGACTCCACTCAAGAGATCACTTTCTGATAAATAGGAACCTTGCCACAATACCTTATTTTTCAAATCCATTCAGTTCTTCTATCTGCAAACTATCTTCCAAAACAAGCAAGCCTGACCAGTAAAATACCTGAGTGTTACAGAATGATTTTGTTCTCGAATATCATATGGTCCAAGTGCATAATCATTTCATGTTTATTTACATACATCCAGTGTTTCCAAATAATGTTCTTTTTCTTATATCTATATTTGCTGATAATTTTTTCAGATTCTTCTCAGCAAACCTTGGAATTATTTTTCAGTATTGCTAATTTTCCTCTTAAAATGAAATGCACTCACATCTGTTAGCCTGTTATAATTTTCAGATGTTTTCAAGACTTTTAAAAGGTCAATAAGGTAAACTTAAAATTTCATTAATTCATCAGGTAAATAAGAAACAGAAGATAGTTGTTTTAAATTGTGAATAAATATTAACACTTTGGAATATTAATGTGAGACCTAACTGCTGATAAGAATGGAGTTGTGATTTTAATTTTATAATAAGAATTTCATGAGACTTCCTTAGTCTTCAGTTTCAATAATAAAGAATACAGTGTTATTCTCAAATTCAGCTAAATCTGCACTTTCATAATAGCAGATGTTTGTATCTCATTAACTTCTTCTTTCTTTCCACAGAGTATGTTTTTCAGCTTGGAAATGCGCGATGGTTACCTACATGTGTTCTATGACTTTGGATTTAGCAATGGCCCTGTGCATCTTGAGGACACATCAAAGAGAGCTCAAATTAATGATGCAAAATACCATGAGGTATAAATCATTGCAATTTGTGTGGTTTGTTTGTTTTGTTTTACTTGTACTTAGACCTATTGATCTAATCAGATGGTCAAATGACATAGGTGGGAAAGTAATTAAACTGAACACCTGTACTTCTTTTTTTTTTTTTTAAAGATTTTATTTTTTTATTTATTCATTTGAGAGAGCGAGAATGAGAGAGAGAGAGAGAGCACATGAGAGGGGGGAGGGTCAGAGGGAGAAGCAGACTCGCCGCCGAGCGGGGAGCCCGATGCGGGACTCGATCCCGGGACTCCAGGATCATGACCTGAGCTGAAGGCAGTCGCTTAACCAACTGAACCACCCAGGCACCCCAGAACACCTGTACTTCTAAAATCCAACTGAAGGACCCCATCTACTCAACTCCAGGATAACATTTGCTTTAAAAGAATGAATGTTTTTGTCATATTGATGTTTTCTAATAAAAGAGTCACTGAAAGATTCATTTTAATTGCTTCATTGACCAAAAGACTCCTGCTCGGTGTCTTTATTACAACAGCACTCCATAGAACTCTTTTATACATCTGTTGAAAATGCCAGAGTGTGGACACACAGACATTTTTAAATGTATCCTTTGAGCGCTACTAAACGTAAAAAGAGTTGATAGTAAGCAAATAGAGAATTTCCTTGTAAACCATTTATCCAGAACTTAGAAAATACTAGCACAGATTTCCTTATAAAGAGAGCCCACAAGGAATGCTCTTTAACTTTGAAACAGTTGTACAGCATACTGATAATATACTTCATCTATTTTCATTAACAACTACTTTGAATCTACGATTGAGTAAAATGTATAAAATGCGTATCTTTTAAGTTGAAACAAAATGCAGAGAGTAGGAGGCTATATTTCTCTTTCAGTTCAAATTTCATGGCCTCCATGAGGATGGTCTACAATAGAAGAATATTTTAACTATATTGCTGACTAGCATTTTGGCAGAATCATTAAAGCTTTTCACTGTGTCACTAAAGCAATGACACCTGGTAACATGCAGTCTGGGTCCAAAAGTTCCCCGTTTATAGTTTTTTCCTGAATCCCCTCAAAGGGGCAAAGGAAAACAACTGGTCTCCTGACAAAAGTATTTTTTGATCTAGCTCCTTCTACATATGGAAATCCTTCTCCAGAAAATGTGAGCTTCTGGTTGTTTAAGTACGAGTGTTCATGTCTATAAGAAAGGCATATCTTATTCCCCATTTTGTGAACAAACAAGCAGAAGAACATGGGGGCCCAGCTGTTATAACCAGAATAATTAAACTATATAGTCATCTTCAAAAAGTTGATTATTAAACAATGATCAAGACTTAACTATATATTATGTCTCCTAGATCTCAATCATTTACCACAACGATAAGAAAATGATTTTGGTGGTTGACAGACGACATGTCAAGAGCATGGACAATGAAAAGATGAAGATACCTTTTACAGACATATACATTGGAGGGGCTCCCACAGAAATTTTACAATCCAGGTAAGCTGTTTTTGTTAAGTAGCTGTTGTTCCTAATGAGGTACTGGGCTGAGTATTCAACATCCAGGAGAGGTCTAGTAAAAGTTTAAGGCACTCCCACTTGCTGCTTCTCGGCATGCACACAGGCGCATGCACACACACTCATGTACCCTCATGACCTCCTTAAATTAGCATCTTCTAGATGACAGCTACAGGTTTCTTTAATTATTGTATTAATCTTAGAACACAGTCTAAGTCTAATGTGATATTTCTTATCTGTAAGAGGAAAGACAGAGCATGTGTATTGTGTGAAAATGAAACATCGTGTCCCTTTACTTTTATTTCAGTCTTAATTTAAGCTTCTTTGAACTCTCAAATAGCATCTGAGGTTACAAACATTTTTAAGCTTATCCAAGGGGTTGTGAATTATGTATCATTACAGTTTTATTCTCATGTATTTAAAAATTTAACTATCTCTTATTACAATCAAGTCATAGCATCAGACACCCTTGAAACTGAGAGGCAACTTTAGGATATTCCAGCCTGGTCATTCTCAACCCTGGTTCTCTTTAGAATAACCTGGAGAACTTTTATAAACACCATTGCCCATAACCACTCTCCAGAAATTCTAATTGGCCTGGGATGAGGCCCCAACCTCAAACTCCTTTTCCAAATTAGATACCCTCTTAGCTCCTTCAACAACTCCACATGGGACTTTTAACTGTTATGGTTGTCATTCTGTACCCCCAAACTGTTAGTTAGCATGGTCCTCTAGGTGTGATCTTTTTTTTTTTTTATTGTTATGTTAGTCACCATACATTACATCATTAGTTTTTGATGTAGTGTTCCATGATTCATTGTTTGTGCGTAACACCCGGTGGGTATTAAAGAGGGCACGTTCTGCATAGGTGTGATCTTAATGGAACAGAATATAGTGGGACTGTTACTCCTTAGTTTGGCCAGTGTTCATTTAAAATATATTGAAACCATTGTAATTTGATCAAAACTAACTTCATAGTCATGCAAGATTTGATAATATGCTCTTGGTGCCTCCTATATACTAGGCATAATGATAGGTACTGGGATTACAATACTAATCAAAACGTCATCCCTGATTTCAAAGATAAAAGATTTCTTACTTTCCTATTAATCCAAAAGCTCAACATTCACTAGAACATTCCTCTAGCCTTAGTTGATTATAGTGTGTTGCAAAAAAGCCAAGAAGATGAGTTCATGACTTTAATCCAATTCACTTGGGAATGGATTAGTGGAAGACTGAAGACCTGGATTCAAATCCTAACTTACCACTTGTGACATTTAAAAAAAAAAAAACAAACAAATAAAAAGATTTTGATGTGTCTTAGTTTCATTTTATAGGTTAAAACATGTGAAGTTGCCAAGAGTTGACCATTTTTGACCTAAAATACATCAGTTCCGTATGGTTCAACCTATTAATCATCTGTAAAAGGGAAATAATAGCCTTTCCTTTTATATCACAGAATTTTTATAAACATGAAACGAGCTAATGTAAGTTAAAGTATCTTGAAAACTACAAAGAAGTAAACAAATTGGCTTGATGCAGAATAAAGCTGTTCTATAGGCAAAGATTAGACATTACTGTGTGCTTATGAAAGAAGGCATGAGAATATGAATAATTACAAAGCTACTAAACATGTCTATAAATAAAATCAAATTTCATATCCCACATATGCAGGGTAACATCATCATCGTCATCGTATCACTGAAGACTAATTTTTTTTCTAGGACCCTCAGAGCGCACTTTCCCTTAGATGTCAGCTTCAGAGGATGCATGAAGGGTTTCCAGTTCCAAAAGAAAGATTTCAATTTATTAGAGCAGACAGAAACCCTGGGAGTTGGTTATGGATGCCCAGAAGACTCTCTTGTAAGTACCAGTCAATCAAAACACTTTAATAAATAGACACACACACACACACACACACACACACACAAATAAATAGACATAAAACTTACCATTCTCAAAAGCTGGAAAAGCTTTTTTCAGCTTCTCTGTGAGCTTAAGTATACCTTGGACTCCTTTCTGCCACCAGAAAAAAGGAGAAACATTGGGGTGCCTGGGTGGCTCAGTCGTTAAGCATCTGCCTTTGGCTCGGGTCATGATCCCAGGATCTTGGGATCGAGCCCCGCATCGGGCTCCCTGCTCCATGGGAGGCCTGCTTCTCCTTCTCCCTCTGCCTGCCCCTCCCCCTGCTTGTGCTCACTCTCTCTGTCAAAAAAATAAATAAAATCTTAAAAAAAAAAAAAAAAGGAGCAACATTAAGCTAAAAAGGCGTGTGGGGCTTCCTCTGTGACTTGTCCATTTGCTTCAGTTTTCAATGGGTGGGGCTTCAAAAGCCCAGAGAGGCAGTGTGGGCATCTTTATTCACTCAGGTGGAGGAAGTGGAGAAGCTAAAACCCCATCAGCTAGAGGCACACAGACGGACCTATTACCATGCCTGAATTTCAGTATAAACCGGAAGTTAAAACATAAACTATTAATATAAAAACCAGTAGACAAGGGCTTTGGTGTGTGAGAAATTGACATTTTAAGCATTTGACAATTATCACAAACACTATATTCACTTTTTTTTGCCACGCAGATATCTCGCAGAGCATATTTCAATGGGCAGAGTTTCATTGCTTCAGTTCAGAAAATATCTTTCTTCGATGGTTTCGAAGGAGGTTTTAATTTCCGAACGTTACAGCCAAATGGGTTACTATTCTATTATGCTTCAGGAGTAAGTATTTCTTTTTCCCTATGGGAACTTTTTTGTGGTAATTGTTTTGTCTATTAAAAATACTGTTTAAGCACGTTAAAAGTGATTTTCTATTCAGATTAATTTTGACTCACATGAGCACACACAGAATGCCTCATTTCAGACACTCTATAATTATGTATATTGTATATCAGGAGTTCTGAACCTAGGATTCATAGACCCAGCCCTCAGGAGTTCATGGAGAAAATTCAGTGTGTCTGTGGACCTAGGTCAGAAAAAATTAAGATTTGTTTTTTTAATTTTATTTTTCTCAAACTAAAATTGCGCATTTTCTTCGATTACAAATGTCAGCAACAAACCACAGTAATATTTGCAGAACCTGTTACTTTATTATTAATAAAAATCACAGGTATTTTTCATTTCAAATAATAGTTGCCACAGATATCTCAAAATATCATTTTTGCTCATTGCTACTTTTAAATTACAGTAGTTATTAGATCTGTTGAGAGATTTTACAATTTAACACTTGGATAAAGAAGTACATATATTACTATATCACAGATTTATTGTTTTAATATTTTGAAACTGTATCTCAATATAATTGGTTTCCCATGTATTCCTAGATATTTTGTTTGATGCATTTTAAAATGTTACTTTTGAAGGGGCCGTGTATATCACCAAACTGCCAAAGGAGTGCATAGCACAAAAAATGTTAAGAACCTCTGTGTACATATACAAATACATATGTGATTTTTTTGTAAAATAATAAAAGGAACATATTTCTCTGTTCTTGGACTGGTTATAGAACACTTGAACTCACCTTCTGAAGATACATTATCTCAAAAATAAAATAAGATATCCAGAGGTTTGGTGACCCCAAGACCCAACTGATTTATCTCTGAAAAGGTCATCACCAATATACACACTGATAGAGCAGGTCATAAAATAAAATGTAAAAGCGGCTCTTACTTTTCATACTTATTACCTTGTATCTTTCACATTTATATTGAATTGAATTTAAATCAGTAGCAACTGTGAGAATTTATCCAAAGCACTTTGTAGGACCTCCACCATCAAACCTGCCTCAGATTACCATGGTTAGTTAAATAACACTTTTGTCCACAAAAAAAGTAATTATGTTGAGGTCAGTGCCCCTATAAGGGAAGAGAAGCAAGATTATCAATTTGCCAATATTTTAAACAATCAATAAGCAAATTCAGAAAAAGAACTGTTAACTTGTGCTCTTTTTCTATGTCTCTTCTGCCTCTATAGATGAAAAGTAAAACACCTAAAAAGCCAAACTGGCAAATTAACCCTTGCCTGGTCATCTACCTACATCCCCAAGGAGATTCGAGTATCGCCTTTCCCAGAGGGGAGACTGAAGACAGAATAGCAATGCCCGAGTTAGGGAAGGCGTTAGCCCTGGGACAACTCTCAGCATGACAAAATCACCAGAAATCTTCAGTTCTCCATTGAAATGTTCCTAATTTTGTCGACGACACCAATATAAGCAATATTCTGTCGTTGTTGTTTTCATAGAAATCATTTCACAGGCAAACTTCCCACACACTGGGTGTTCCTTTAATCAATACCATGAAGTAAACATGTCCATCTTTTGGATCCTTGGCCTTCCAACTTAAAACCCTGTGCTTGAATTTCAGTCGGATGTGTTCTCCATCTCATTGGATAACGGCACTGTGGTCATGGATGTCAAGGGAATCAAGGTGCGGTCGGCCGATAAGCAGTACAACGACGGGCTGTCCCACTTCATCATTACCTCTGTCACACCTGCAAGGTACAGCTTCTCACTTTATATTCTTCCCACCAGATGCCTTTATTCGTAGGGCATGATTCTGCTAAATGACCATTCTGAATAATAGACTATTGCTTTTCCAGTGCTTAAAAAAAAATGGTAGAGAGAACAACCTTCTTTTAAAAAGAAGTTGCTATTAATTTTCAAGAGATAAATCACTATATAATTACTTAACAGGAATATAAAGGGTTTTTTCCAAGGCTACAAACCTTCTTGAGGGAAGTGCCTACACATAGTACTTACTGAATGGAGTGCAGTGTTTTGCACATAGAAGGAGATCCTCAAACATTGGTTTCATTTCGATTTTTAATTAAGCAACTGAGAACTCTACATTTATGACCATATTTTAAAAGCTCTAGCTTTATTTTTTAAATACATAATACTGAATTTCTTTTTCATAAGAAGAAAGATTTCTGGAATAAGAAATAAATTTCTGGGCGCCTGGGTGGCTCAGTTGGTTAAGCAACTGCCTT